CAATCACTACCATCCGGAGAGACTTATAGGATGTCAATTCTTCCACTTATCTAGGCGGAATTATTTCAGTTACTGGCAGCACTGATCTGAAGATCTCAAAGTCAGGATCGGAAAAGCAAGACGGACCTTCATTAAATCAAAAATCAGTGTGGAAATCTGCTGGATTCAGCATAAAGAACAAGATTCTAATTTCCAACACTAATATTAAGTTAGTCAGTGCTTCTATAAGGTTCAGGGACTTGATGAAGGTGTCACCGAAAACATTTCAAACAGCCTGCTGAAGACCCACATCAACACCTGCCTTCATTACATACTGAAAATCTGATTGCTGGTTAGAATGGATAAACAACAAGCAACTTCGGTAACCAAACAACCAAGAGCTGTTATGTATGTGAATATGAGGACCTTGTAGACTACAAGCGAATCTAACTAATGCGCTGGCTAATCTGTCTTAATCGCACGTCAACAACGACAACAATAATACCGCCGGGCACGCAAGACAAATAAAAGAGAAGACTGGACGTTGATATGAGAGCTTTTACTGTCTCAAACAACAGTCGAAAATGTTAAACAACAACTCCGTATTTATACAATTAGAAAAATCAATGTCACATTTTAAAAATATTAACAAACCTTGGGAATTCAGTAATTTAAATCAATAATCACGCAGATGCGTGAAATCAATGATTATGCTAGTGTGTGAAATAAATAATGAATATTAATGATTCACCTGCGTATATATTACCTCCCCCTTTTAAAAGGAATCTTGCAAACAGTTTAGTATCTTTTTTCCTTGGGGTCGATTTGGAAATGAACTGTTTGTGTTCGTTTGCGCTGGGATCGTCGGCTGGGTAGCATCTCTTGTTTTGCTTCTGGTTTGACTGGTGGTATTTTGAAAGTTTCCAGTAGTAAATCCAGTGGCAATTTAGGTTCTTGGGATGTAGTATATCGACGTCGTATCTGATTTTTATGTCTAATCCACCATTCATCCCCAACTTTAACCTTGTACATTAGAGCTCCATGTCGACCTTCTATCAAGCCTTCGGCCCATTTACTGTTCCTCGGTTGATAATCGCGCACATAGACGGCATCACCCTGGCGGTAATACTTCAGACTATTTCTTCGTTGATGTGACGAAGATGGTAACATGGAGTGGTGATGAGTTCGTAGCATTCGACCCATTAGAAGTTCTGCAGGGCTTTTCTTCTGTTCTGTCAGTGGTGTAGTTCGGTATACAAAAAGAAAGTTTTGTATTGCTTCCGGTTTCGCCCCTCCCCCTGCTTTCAACAACGCTCGTTTGAAAGTGTCGACAAATCTTTCTGCCTGACCGTTGGATTGAGGGTGATAAGGTGGCGTCCGCACGTGTTGTATACCGTTTCTCTTGCAAAATTCCTGGAACGCTTGTGAGGTGAACTGACTGCCATTGTCAGATACGATGATTTCTGGTATACCGTGACATGCGAAGATCTTTTCCAGGACTGATACTGTTCTGCTGCTAGAAGGTGGTGTCACTTGTACTACCTCCGGCCACTTTGAGTAAGAGTCCACGAGAACCAAGTAGTATATACCTTCTACCGGCCCAGCAAAATCCACATGTAGGTGGGACCACGGTTTTGACATGGGCCATGCTCTTGGTGGCGGATCTTTGGCTGCCATGACAGACATCACTTTCAGTTTTTGAGCAGAGCCTCTCTTACTGGAGCTAACAGTTGCTACTCTGTTGCTACCAGACATCCAAGGACTTTTGGCGTCGTCATACTCACTATGATGATTTGAAGGTGGTTTTTCATTAATCACGTCATTCTTTATAATGGGTTTAGGTCTAATATATATGTCTCTCATTTCTGGCTTTCTTGTTGAGGGTTCAATACTTTCGACCTTAGTGCATACACTGCTTAACGGAATTTCTGACAGGTGCAGCTTCTCGAACCAGTCTAAACCCAAGAGGTCAAGGTTTGAATTATTGATGTAGCATGTGCCGACGAAATGACTATCGCGAAAATCAACGCTGCATTTTATTTCTCCATTCAATCGAAGTCTTCCACCACATGCACTAATTGCTATTTGATTTGTCTTCTCTATGGTAGGGCATCCCAACTTCTGCCATAATTTCTTTGATATTATTGTAATATCGGATGCTGTGTCGATTTGTAGGCGTGCCGGCCGTGTATTAATCGTCAGATTGATATATTTGCGAGGTGCTGGAGTACTAATATGATATGTGGCAGTAACACCCAAAGACTTGAGCTTGTTGTGCCGTCTGGGTCGACTAAGAGATCTGGGTTGGTTGTTGCGTTTGCAGTAGCCATCTTTGTGACCAACAGTATGGCATTGACGGCATTTATGCTGTTTGAATGGGCACAAGTTTGCAAAATGCCAGGAGCCACAGTGCCAGCAGGCTGATGGTGGTTTATGCTGAGGATGACGCGGTGCGGTTGATGTCGACGGTACTGGATGCACCGCATGCACTTCTGCTGCATTTTGGCTGCCAGACTGCACCAAGACGGTATCGTTGTGAATGTTGATTAAACGCTGATATTCTTCACCGACGTCTTTCAAAGTCATTCGTGGATCTTGTTCCAGACGATTTAATAGACGTGTGCGTATATCAGCAAATTTGGGAGACTGCAAACCACAAATGAAGATCAATACCTTGAACTGGTCTTCTGAGAGTGATTTCAATTTAAAACGTTCACACGTGCGATTGACTATACCCAACTGAGTATGGATATCATCATTTTCGTTCAGAGATAGTTTCATGCAATGATATCGAATGTTGAATAAAGATCTCTGATCACCGAACTGATGACGAAGGGTATGGACAGTTTCATCGAATGATCTTTCGCTGGGCTTCTGTGGGAGAATTAAGTTGCAATATTTATCTAGCTCATCTGCTCCCAATTTACGAAGTAGAAGCCGTACTTTCCAGGCATCATCTTTATCCGCAAAGTCTACTCGAAATAGGTCTTCATATCTGCGAAACCAGGTATCAAATGTTACGTTCGCATCTGGATCATAAACGAATTCTGAGATGCTACTACCAATGCTGTCGTTGGCTGCAGATGAATCAGCAGAGCGTGATATTTGTAGACCAGCAAGCATTTCCATCAATTTTAGCTGCTGTTCCATTAGTTTCTCTAAACACCGTGAGTCCATCTTGAGCAAAACCCGTCGCCAAATTTGTTATGTATGTGAATATGAGGATCTTGTAGACTACAAGCGAATCTAACTAATGCGCTGGCTAATCTGTCTTAATCGCACGTCAACAACGACAACAATAATACCGCCGGGCACGCAAGACAAATAAAAGAGAAGACTGGACGTTGATATGAGAGCTTTTACTGTCTCAAACAACAGTCGAAAATGTTAAACAACAACTCCGTATTTATACAATTAGAAAAATCAATGTCATATTTTAAAAATATCAGTGTGGAAATCTGCTGGATTCAGCATAAAGAACAAGATTCTAATTTCCAACACTAATATTAAGTTAGTCAGTGCTTCTATAAGGTTCAGGGACTTGATGAAGGTGTCACCAAAAACATTTCAAACAGCCTGCTGAAGACCCACATCAACACCTGCCTTCGTTGCATACTGAAAATCCGATTGCTGGTTAGAATGGATAAACAACAAGCTACTTCGGTAACCATACAACCAAGAACCTATTGTGTCTAAGAAATATGCCGAAGATCAGACACATGCTCAGGAGACCGTTGAGTAACATTAAGCACCAGGTCATCGCTCGAGAGGAATACGAATAGGACATACAAAGGGTGATATAGAGGAGATCGTTTGAGAGCTTATGGGTAATCATAGAGTCAGCTTAAGAGGACTGGAAGGAATGGAATGAAATGGTGATATGCTATTGAAGCCCTATATCCCACTGGGAACCTAAGGCTGTAATAAATGGTAAAATAATACAAATTTATGAGTACAAAATTTGCGATAACTTTTTCTGTTTAGACATGAAGAGATAATGCAAAAGTAGCTTCGTTGCTTTGACATGCAAGACAAAAACAACTTTAGCTGTATTGATTCTGGAGGAATTATTCACTAGATTAAATGTCAAAGTAATATCTTAATGTTTTCAGGATGTCTGAAGAATTGAAATCGATTTCTCAGCATCTTTTTCAGTTATGCATCTTTTTTTCTTGAATTTTAATAAAATTTGTTGTATATTTGCAGTTGAATAACATGAAAATGGAAATGATCTCCTGACGGTTGGTTAAGTGACGCTTCGATAAGCATATGCTCTCATACAGTGAAGGATGGGGGTTCTTTTTCATGAATAGACAGAGGTTTGAATTCAAGCGTTACTGGATTCCAACCCCACGGCTGATTTGTAACTTGATCATCTTGTAACCTGAAGTTCTAAGATTCAATCTCTGGAGGAGGGGGAGTGAGTACCAGTAAAGAGTCATAAAGTAGGAGGAGAAGGCCTGACTGTACTCCTTGGTTCTCAATGGTTCTCTAACTAATTTCAGTTCGTGAAGGTTCCAGAACTTTGTCTTGGACAGTAGGTAGTCTGTTATTGAATATCAAAGAGCACTGCATTTAGTATACACCGAATAACTCTTTAAATGGTTAGGAAATATTTGAAGACCACCTGCATAACATAAATAAGGGGAAGAGACCTTCACTAAGCACTAGAGCTTATAAAGCTAGTATAATAAGCATAGTAAACACTCAGCTGTTACTGCTATCATTCGCAGGATAAGATGAACAAGAATTTTATTTTGTCTGTCTATACAGATCATCATAGGAAATTACTTTCCATTAAACAGTTATTGAAAGTTATAAAGTGTAAAAGGTATCTGTCATTATATGTGGCAACATTCTGAGGTAATCCCAAGTGAAATCTTTGAGGTTGTCAACAGCCTAGACTCCTTAGTGAATTCGTCATTGAAGCCACTAGACTTGAATTCAACACGCATAAAATGAAGATATTCTTTGTGAAAATAACATACAAATAAGCTAAAAAGATATAGACTAGCACTTACGTTGTACTTGGCTTTGGTGAACGTAATTTTCTACTGAAATTGAGTAAATTAGTTGATGCTGTATTTGCTGAACTAGGCTTTACATTAACATCACTTACAGTAGATGTCTGAGTTTTCTGTTTCACATTTGATTGACTCTGTAAATCTACTTTGTCAACTGATGCTACTGTTGTAGTTTGTTCTTTCAATAAAGTATTTGTTGTTGTTGTTGTTGTCAATATTGTCGATGTCAGTGATGAAGAATTCTGGGTGCTGGTAAATGATGGTAAGGCATTTAAAACTGAAGAAGACGATCCAGATAGATTAGATTGGATTGGATTGCAAGATGTTTGTGAAAATTCAGTATTATAATTATTATTAGGATTCTCTTTCACGGTATTGATTAATTCACCAGGTTTCATATTATTTAAAGGAAAAAGTTTTGGATTATTTACAAGATTAGCATTTCCAGTAATTCCACTGCCTGTACTACTGCCAATCCCGGAAGTAGTAGTATGCACACTGGTGGCAAGAGGAGTAGATGGTAATGATGACGACGATGATGTTGTTGTTGTAGAAGATAATTTTGCATAGAATTCATTTAAACCTGTTAAACTTCTGTTATTTGAAGTGTTAGACATTGGATATTTATTTTTAATGCCAGAAAGTGATACAGATATTGATGATGTTCTCATGTTAACTGGATAATTCACTGACGATTGTTTAACTTTTTCAGCTGCTAACTCCACTCGATTCCAGTAGGCTTCATGGTTTTGTAGACGTGCAGTTTTCCTAAATATTAAGTATTTTATTTTGGTAGATGAGAAGAAAATTGAAACAGGATATTTGTAAATTAGTAAGTTTGAAGTTGTTCAGAGTAGTCTGTCTTATAAAAATACTAAAACTTGCTGTAAAATAAATATGATGGTTAGAATTTTGTTCTCAGATTACAGTCATAAAAGTTGTTCAGGTATAAAAGAAATTATGTAGACAGAATTTTTATTATATGAGATGTTAACTTCTAATGTAAGAACTTAGCGAACTTTAGAAGATGTGACACGCTTGGTGACACGTGACTCAGAGCTTTGCTTAATCCGTACTTGGTACCTAACTTAAAAGTCTTGGGAATATATCACCCGATTGCTTTTAGAAGGCTCATTTTCGGATGAAATATTTGTCTAGTACACTTTGGTTCTCAGTGGTTCACTACATATGGACTGTGTATGTGCGTGAAAACACATACGAGATATAATATATAATATAATACATTTTTTCCATCCTTATTCCACCAAGCTTTATTGTTATTGTTCTTCTAATATTCATAATCCTCTCAATTTCTTGTTTTTGTTTATTTTCTCATGAGTGTAAACATCATTTAAGCTGTGTAATAACTGTTATTTTTTGTCTTTCCCCTCACCATGCTATATGAACAGAACATTAGATTCACTAATCTATAACATGCTAAAAATTTCAGAACTGAATCGACAATACTGTTTGAAACAAACCCACTGTTATTATTATTATTCTCCCTTTGTACTTCAAATATATTCGACTTTATACCGTAAATATGGAGAAATTCCTGCAGTTAATTTTATTAACATTTTGGGTAAATCAGATGCAGTTTTGCGACAAATGCTGAGAATTCCACTCTGCATTATAAGTACTGTTTTTGGAATAAAGTAGATTATTTTGATTTGACACTAGTAACTAGTGTGATGCGTCTAGTCCTCTCTTTGGTGCAGACTGAATTCTATCAGTCAAGGTGTAATGTGGCCACCATTCTAGGTAGCTCGCCATCACGGTGCTGAAGAGTGCCAACTAGCATGAAACCTAGTTCCAAGGCTTCCTGCCGATTGCCTCCAACCATCTAATATCATCACAAACAGTGTACACCGTGATGGCGAGCTACCTAGAATGGTGGCCACATTGCAACCTGACTGATAGAATTCAGTCTGCACCAAAGAGAGGACTAGACGCATCACACTAGTTACTAGTGTCAAATCAAAATATCCACTACAGTCCTACAAGAAGTCAATCCCGAGCCCGAATAGCTCAGTGGTAACGTCTCTGACTGCAGCACTGCATGACGCGGGTTCGAATCTCAGAAGGGACATGAGTTCCTTCAAGGTTACAGATACGCCCTGCTGAAGAGTGCCAACTAGCACGAAACCTAGGTCCAAGGCTTCCTGCCGATTGCCTCCAACCATCTAATATCATCACAAACAAAGTAGATTATTATTATTATTATTACTAATATTATTATTAACTGTCATTGTGAAGAATAAAACTGGGACATCAGCCAGTTACATACTTCTATGCCCTGTAAGTATATCTATCTATGGGCTCTCAGTTTGCAAACTATATGAGTGACGGAACTGACAGATTTGGTTTATACCTACATTAATAAGCCGAGACAGTGCGTTTTTCTTCTATATTCGTATCGAATGATTTCTTTTAGTGCAGGTGATATCTTTGAATTGATAAAATTTTAAATTAACCAAAGTTACGTTAAGTTAGATAATCTCAGCAGGAAATTAATATGGAAAGGATTGTTTATTTTTAGACAAGCATGTTCCAGTGAACATTATGAAGAGTATAACTATAGAAGCCAATTTTTTAAAATATTTTACCAACTCACTTTAACACACCAAAACTAAAGTTAAGTATTGGTTTCCATGGTTTTGATTGGTTATAAATGTGATCAAAAGATGACTTGAACCAATTATCAAATGGCCCATGAACTCCAAGTTCTACCGATTCACAAAATACACAGCAATACCGTCAGTTAAAGTCATCGGTGAGTAACTCTCCTTTTACCTGAAGTAGTGCACCCAGCTGGTCACAACTTTTCACCTGAACTCCAAGTAACTACATGCATAGAGCCAATCACCAGTGAGCATCAGGTTAACCTTTAAGCTTTGGTTTTCAGGGATTTCATTGGTTACAAGTGGGCTGAATGGTCTACAAGCTCAAATTGTAGCCTGAAGATCTGGAATTCGAACCCTGGTGGGTGCGCACTGATGAAGAGTCCCAAGCTAGGACAAAACACAGTTGTTCAATACTTCTAGGTTTTCCAATGTCTCTCTAAATAATGTCAACTCGAGTTGATTTTAAAGTGTGACATACCTCCTTATCATGAATTAAACAAAAGCCGGTTTGAAAGACGAATTTCTTTCTAATAAATTCTCTTTAGTTTCTTACAGTCTTAAAATATTTGTTATCATCACAATATTTTTATTTTTTTGAAATTTTAATTATAGCTTGATTCCACACAGTATTTTTGGTACAAGTATGGAATTTTCAGCATGTGATATAGATAGCCCAAATTTTGCAGGCCGACCATTGATTTCAGGTGTGCGTCGGCAGGGGATTGAACCTCGAACCATGTGCATGGTCGGCGAAAGTCCTAACGGCTGTGCCATCGACGCACATATGCGTCAAAAGTTCAATTTCACCACACATAGTACATAAAAGCCACAGAATTGACGCTAACGTTTCCTTCAGAATCATGTACCACATTTCAAAGTCATTATCACGCCTACGTCTTCCAGAATAATTGAAGCTGTTGCAATAAGATTAACAAACCAGAACTCTGTATTCAGAAAGAACGCGTTCAGACTTTGTTCCTGCTGTGGTCAAACATGGAATAAAAGTTCTTCCCTCCAACGACGTCTTTTCCACTTTTTTAATTTCTATCTCCTCTTCTCTTCCTTTTCAGTTTTCAGTCACATTGTTTCATAATTTATTTCTTATTTTTATTTCGGTTACAGCTTGATTCCACACCGTATTTTCAGTACAAGTATGGAATTTTCAGCGTGGATATCGGTAGCCCAAATTCACAGGCCGACCATAGATATCGGGTGTGCGCCGGCAGGGGATCGAACCCCGGACCATGTGCATGGTCGACAGTCCTAACCACTGCGCCACCGACGCACTTCTTTCTAGCATTCTTTCAACAATATCGAATTTTCCACTTATATTATTAGTGGTACGACTCCAGCTTACTCACTTCATATAATGATGAGTACAGGATGAGTTATTCACTGGAGTCTTAATGTCTCCGGTTTAATGCGAACTACGGACATGATATCGACGCTGTCAAGTCATTCACTATTGTGAGCAGACAAAGAAACAGGGAGATGCTTGCAGTTGAGGAGCCTTGTACAATTCAAGTTTATACACCAGATCTCTGAGGACAAAAGGAAATGGTTGTCACTCTGAATTTACTATGGTAATAAGTTTTACTTATTAACTGCTATTATTGTTATAACTATTACTATTAATATTACTTGCAATTCTTGATATATTTAAGTTCTTTCTCTAATGAGTAGTTGTTTATCTAAGTGATGTAACTGAAGCGTAATTCATTTTTCTGAATTTTAATCTCTCATACTCCCTTCCCCGTATCTATTTCAACATAACCTGAAAAACATTCACACGCGTCGTTTTGCACGATTAATTCAATGCAGTTTATTTGCTTATCAATCTTATATGTCCTAATGTTTTTTCGATAGTATCTATATCCCTGTATGTAGAGTATTCAGCTGAAGAGTTCTACCGAAATTCGATGTATTCATTAAATCCTGGTTTATTAACCTTTGTTACTTGTTTTCAAAATTCGTATCGGGAAGTAAGTGTTTCCTGTACTACTTTGCACTAGTCACTACTCACCAAACATCATTTACACTCTGCGATTAACCTGCCAATTATCCTTCCTTATAGTGCATGAATTTATTAGGACTAATTACAACACTTTGGTTGTTGTATTCAGCTTGTAACACAAATACTACACAACTTGTTACCTTATAACTAATTTGTAATTCTATGCAAAAAATGTGATGATAAATATTTCATTTTTATAAGTTCAAGAGCCTGAAGACAATATTCTTTGTTTAGACTGATTTCTCGTCTGAATTTCAACTAATACTCAACTTAACTAGAGTTATGAAACTTTAGATGAAAATAGATTAGAAATCAGCATCATTTCTAGGTTAAATTCAAGAGGAAAGATTGGAAATGAGCATCTAGAGAGTTAAATTGATTTCAGAAATTTCTTTCTGGATAATAAAGGTAATTTGAACTGGAAAGTGAAGTTGTTTTATTCACATACTGTCAAACTACATGTTTCAAGGCTGCTTAAATCACAAAATGGAGCATAGATTAAAACTAATTTTCGTCTATTCTAGTAAATGATATTTGATGGTTGGGAGCAATCCGCCACAGGAAGCCTTCGACCTAGGTTTCGTGCTAGTTGGCATCCACCACAAGTCAGCAACCTTGAAGTGACTCATATCACTTCTGAGAATCGAAACCTCGTCACCCGGTGCTGCAGTCAGAGACGTTACCACTGAGCTAGCTATCCGGACTCGCGACTGACCTGCTGTAGGACTTTAATGGATATTTTTGATTGGACACTAGTCAGTAACTAGTGTAATGTGTCTAGTCTCCTGTTCGGTGCAGACTGAATTCTATCAGTAAAGTTTGCAATGTGGCCACCATTCTAGGTGGCTCGCCATCATGGCAATCTCAAGATTGTTGGTATTAGAATGGTTGCAGATACGCCTTGTTGACCGGTGAGTGTAAACTGGCACGAAACTTAGGTCCATCACTTCCTGTCGATTTACTGCAACCATCTAGTATCACCAATTCAAAGTGCACCATGATGGCAAGCTACCTGGCATAGTGGTCACATTGCAAACTTGACTGATAGAATTCAGTCTGCACAGAACAGGGGACTAGACACATTACACTAGTTACTGACTAGTGTCCAATCAAAAATATTTGATAGCTATTAAAGTCTCATTCATTAACTTTGTTGCTAGTGGTTCAGCAGTAGAATACTCGTCAGCCATACCAGGGATCCGGGTTCGATTCCCGCCAGATGCATTCCTAAGACTCTAGTTTCCAAGTCCGTGGAAAAGCGAAGACAGAAATAACACCATCCCAACTGAAACTTTAAAGCCTGAAGCCCTACATTCAATTCGAAACACAAAGAATGAAAAAAAAAAGAATAATGTGGTCGGAAAGGATAACTTATCAGATAGTGAGATAGTCGTAAAACAACAGGGTGCTGGACAAATAAGTGGTTGGATTCCTATTTTTGTGATAGAAATTAGTACACTGTTTATAATGGGAAGTCCTCCACTGCTTCACTTACTCTAATGGGTGTTCCTCAATGAGCTGTTGTTCTTTCTCCTTTTCTGTTTTACCTCTTCTTACATGACTTGCCCCATTGTGACGAAGTCAATTTTGTTAAGTATGCAGATGATCTAACTGTTTCTATGCCTGTTACTTCTCAATCAGACTCTCCCAAAATGAATAACTTTTTATCATAAATTAGTCAGTGGTCCTCGTCAAATGGTCTTGAGCTTAATCCCTCCAAATGTCAGGTGGTTAATTTCACTTTCAGATGCAAGCGCAGCTTACATCAACTGGTTAATTCTCACGATTCCACTATCAATGATGGCACTGAAGTTGAAACCAAATCGAATGTTAAATACCGCAGACTGTGTATTTCCTCTGATCACCTTTCCTGGTTTTCCCACATCATCTTAGTTTCTAGAAAGATATTTCCTTTGACGTTCTATGTAAGGAAGTTAAGACGATCTGGTATCATTCCATCTCTACTGTTACCGTTTGTTAATTCTTGTATTCTGCCTATCCTTCTTTACTGCTCCCCCTTAATCTCTCCCGGGCTACTTAAAAGAGACTTCGTTAAACTGACAAGGGCACTAAAAGATGTCAGTAGGGAGAGTGGGGTGTTGCTAAACTAACTCGTTAATACTGGTTGTAGATAAACACATAGACTCCTGCAAGACTCCTGTACATGTTATCTTGTCAGACTCTAAGTATCCTCTCTATACACAACTCTCTCTTTGCAGCTCATCGGGTAGAACTAGAAGCAGCTATAGAAGACTGTAACAGCAGAAGGTAAGACAAGGGAGCCAAGGTATCTTTTTCGTTGATCAAACCGCTGTTTATATATATGTACAGTTTTATATTCTCTAACCAATCACTGAGCGTGTGATTTCGATTTACATCAAACGACATGAAATAGAATGTTCAAACATACTTAGTATTCTGCTGCCAATGCAGTATTGAACGATGGGAATACATTCCAACTGTAACATCAAATAACCTCGCATAGTTAACTAGCTAGCTAGTTTTCTAGCCAGTCACAAGTCTGGGTAAAGAGGGAGGGTTGGGCGTGGGGCTAGCAACCCCACACCACTAAATCTTTCAAACCGCCAGAGAAACTTCAACACAGAAAGGATTTCTAACAGGTTGTAGACTTTCATCAACAGCTGCATTAGCTCCATACTGAAGATCAAATGGCTGGCCAGGAAGAATAAGCAACAAGAAACTCTGCAGTAGAACAAACCAACAGGCGACAGCCGATCGCTCAAAAAATATGTAGGAGAAAGTGGAGATGGATCGGGCATACATTGAGGAGGCCGCCGAATGACATCGCACACTAGGCCCTCGAGTGGAATCCCGTTGGGAAGCAAGGAGTGGGTCGTCGGTGCGATGGTGACATGGAGGAGATCGTGTGAGGAAGAGATGAAAGAGTTTGGTCAATCGTGGACCCAGATGAAGAGGACGTCAGAAGATAGGACAAAGTGGAGATGTGTTGTTGAAGCCCTATGTTTCACTCGGAACGCAAGAGAATAATAATAACAACTAACATCAAATAGAATGTTCAAATGGATATATACTATTCTGTTGCTAATGTGCTGTACTGAACTGTGGGAATATGTGAGAATAATATTCCGTTGGCACTCATTGTCTGTATCACACCACCACAGATTATATGCTCGGCTGACTAAGTACAAAAACTCTACAATGTCTTATTTAGCACACACATTTTATGTGATGAGAAAAGTGTAAGGCAGGACATTACCAACTTACTGCAGAACTCTAAGTAAGCGGCCCCATATATATGTTTATCTTTCTCACTATAATATTGTTGTTAATATTTTCAAATAATTTAATTTTAAATTCATATTCTTATTGAACAATATTATTAATGTAAATGCCATGTTTTAACTATTACCCCAGTAAATGAGAAAGTTAGATGCGATACTGTACTGCATGCTGAAAATTCCATATCTGTACCAAAAAAATACTGTTTGGAATAAAGCCATTATTACTATTATTATTTTATCATCATTACTGTATTTGAGATAATAATGCTGAGATTTAGGGTCAATACTAAAATTAGATAAGCAAGTCAACCGTTCTTCCTCAAATACTTTGTGCTGCACTGAGGCCCTAGAAACATCAGGAGACAACACTGATCTGTACCAGTTAAAATATCAACTTTATACGACAAAAAGTACTTCATATTTTCACGCCGCCAATACGCTGTCTTGATTGATTGTTCAAGGTGGGGCATCAAATGTTGTCCAATCAAATTATAATAAAATCATCCTCTCTTCAGCCCACTGACTGGTTTTAACATGTCAATGCAAAACATAGTTATTTTATGACAAGGTATCACACACTTCGACCTGGCTAGCAAACCCTACCTTGTTGATGTGGGTGGTGGTATAAAACTACTCATCTCAATCAATCAGTAGTATACAGTTTCATGGAAACTGTGATGAAATTCCAGCTACTTGGAATTGTGAAAATTACAAATTGCGAATTTCATAAATGAGAACTTATTGAATAATTCTGCTGACTTGAATGTCATTGGATCGCTAGTTAAAGATGACTGTTTGTCATTAGTTAATCTTTTTGACCTCAACTCATTGCATTAACAACATGCGACTTTTATTATTGACCTAATTTCGGAGCATTAATTTCCTTGAATAGTTTTTCATTGGTCCTCATTTATCTTAAGCTCCATGTCTCAATAAACTTCTCTTGCGATTTCTGAGAATGTTTCTTCGTTCCAATAGTAATAATATTTATTATCATTATTCAAACACAAATTTGGTACATTGTAAAGATCATAAGTATGCGCCACGCAAAATCTCATAATTTTTGCGAGTGGTGAGATACTGCCCAGACACCATACCGAAAAAGAGGTTTTCTTAAAAGGCCATCTCCTGGGACTTTGACTTGAAGTCTGAACAACAAGGCAGTGTAGCAGCATCAGGAGCTAAGCTCTCAGGGTTGACGGTGACCAAAACAAGTTTATAAGTTATTCAATCCGTTCGGACTATGGAGCTATATTCGCCATAAGTTCGGAATAAGGGTTTTCCAGCCCCCTCCCTAGATAGACCTGTATATCCATTAGTCCGTTTGTAGGTGTCAGACGCTCGCATTTACCCTATCACTATTGTAAAGAACACCTCCACCAAATGAAGGCAGTCAGTAACACTTACCTGGTAGGGGCTATGGACGCGTGCCCGCATGAGAGTATTTTGGGAGGAAGACAGAATTCTATCCACCCTAGGCCATGACAGGTCGTTTATGGAGGCGTTTCAATAAAACTCAGTGATGTTGGTGATCCAAATTTGTTTTGGGAATGATCATCATATCATGTTTTTTGACTACTAGCTGCAGTCAACTGACATATGAAAATATACACAATACATAGATTTATTACGAAGAAGGCAAGCCACAAACAATAATTCCACATTAAGTTTACAATAAAGGTTACTTATTCATTGCATAAGTTGATTTTGAAAAGATCAACCACAGCTCAGTCACATTCAGGTAGTTGAAACTTTGAAAAACATATAACTTAGGGCAATGCTTAACTTCTCTATAAAGTTAATGTTTGATGAAGTCACCTAGCCCGATGGTGTCAATTTCTTGATAAAATATAAAATGGTAAAAGTCATGAAAAACTATCATCCTCATCCTGAGTGTCACATATCATCTTGTATGATGTTGTAAAATTAATCTGAATTTGAAAATTGGCCTCTTTTAGATTCTCGGAAATCCCTTCAATTATCTTCTCGTTCGCTTTGGTAACAACACACGGCTGATTCAGTGTAACAGATGTGGAATGTAGAATCAAAGAATACGATCATCAACAAGCCCATTAAACTGTTTAAAGTAACTTTAACTTATTTGTTTATTAAATAGTGTGGTGTGAAGCAGCAGACTCAGTAAATAAGAAAAAAACATTCCATAGATAAAAATGAAACAGAACAATAGATTTATATCACTCACTTTTGTCGTTCTTCTGTCAGTTTTGATGAACACTGTTCAACAAGTCTTTGATCTGTTTCAATGGCCCAGTTTAAAACATTACAAATTAATCCATGAACAGTTCTGTAGGTAAATAAGAAAGGCAAATATATTTATTTCTCCCTCAGTCAAATTTACTGATAAAATAATGAACGGAAAATTCCCGTTCTAAGTTATGATCAAAAAAAGACTTTAAAAAGCAAAGCGTACTGATGAAGAGTCCCAAACTAGGAAGAAACAGCTATCCAGTACTCCCAGGTTTTCCAGTGGTTCTCTAACTGATGTCAGTCAGCTCATGATGAAATCGCCCGTGCAATCAAACAAAATCCCTACAAAACCAATACTTGAAAAGACAATTTTATTGTCGAAGAACCATTTTTAGGAGCTTTACAGTCGTAATTATGTTATCGTAGAATTCATAAACCAGCTAGATACTAGTAACTTTACATATTGTAAGGTGTAATCTAGAAAACGACGACACAGCGGAAATCAGGGAAGGAACAGAAGTTGAGGAACTCCGTGTAGCCCTGTGAAGCAGTCATGTGGTAGTGCTCCATACCTACAGTCCACAACGTGCTTGACGACAGAGCTACTGGTGTTCTTCTTCTCTCTTCTCGTTGACCAGGCTGGACAGTGTTCCAGAATACGTTTGTGGACTTGACACGGCCACAGGAAAAAGTGAACGGATAAATACACATTGAGGTGGCCAAAAGAGGTTTATTATCCTTAAAGAATGACTGGATTAACTATCTGCTGGAGAATATGATTCGTAAGATGGCTGCCTCAAATGTCTTCTACACACATATGGGAAGGCAGTTTCTAGAATGTACTGTTTCAATGTCACCTCTGAATTCTAAGTTCATGAACAGAGTTTTCTTAGGAATTGTTACAACTTCCGATGGTTTTTCTCACATATTTCTGTAGATAAATCTAGGTGGACATCCATTTTCCGGAGGTTTATCACTTCAAGATCTTAATTCAGTCTGCAATGTATGTTTGGAACAGATTTTTTGAATTCCTGATCATAAGGTACGTACTAAATTTTGTTTTCGAACCAGTGGGAAGCAGCTCTGAAAGTTAATAAACTGTTCAGTTCATGTTGGTTTTCAATATGTTGACAATCAACTGATAAATGACAAGACAATATAGAATATTAGATGGTTGGAGGCAATCGGCCACAGGAAGCCTTGGACCTAGGTTTCGTGTTAGTTGGCACTCGTCAGCAAGGCGTATCTGCAACGATTGCCTCCAACCATCCTAATACCAACAAGTTACAGTGCAAAGTAATGGCCAGCCACCTAGCATGGTGGCCACATTGCAAACTTTACTGATAGAATTCAGTGTGTACCGAACAGGGGACTAGACACATTACACTAGTTACTGACTAGTGTCCAATCAAAAAACAATATAGGATCTTAGACAAAAGTTTGACTGTTCCAGATGCTGCAATTCTTAACAGCAATGTGAAAAAGAATTCTCGAAGCAGAATAATGTTGAAACAGAAAGAATTCGTGGGAAAACGATAGATAAATAAATAAAGAATAATAAAATGCTCAGTATTCTGAAGACAATAGAGAGTGGATGAATCAACTCTTAGATGAACAGTGTTCAGCCTTTTAGCGCTAAACACACCGAGTATTACACAGTTCAAAAATACACTTGCTAATCTCAAGGATTATTAGCCCTACTAAGCCTTCTGTCAATTTCTTAGGTAATCTTGTGATTTGAAGTGGAACTAATCAATACGAAGCAGTTAAGTGATGACTGTTCACAAGACTCAGTTTCATATTAGAATTGTTACAATGTAAAAGCTTTAGGTCGAAGATTCTTTAACAAATCGGAAAATTTAAAACAATTAAGTTCCTGAAATAATAGAGAAGATTTGTAGCTCAGGTGGATGATTCGCAATTAATAGTGTTCTCTGAGCTGGTTGGTTTAGTTGCGGAGCTTTCGTCGTCCTTCTAGACAACATCTTCAGCGCCATATTTAGCATAAAGTGAAGTGATTTAAATTTCTTCATGAGTGATATAATTGCGTCTCCTGGTAACCATCTTTACATATGTATTGACCACTTTCTATTGACTTGGATTTTAAACTTTCTGGTCACCTGATTTACCTTTTATTAGTTGGTATATTTCGTCTATATTAACGTGTTTGTTAATTGCATTTTCGTTTGAGTACCAGGCTTCTAGGAATTCCCTGGTACTTTTAGTGCTTACTCTGTCTAAGATTTTGACATTATCCCAATCAAATTGATGACCATAATTGTCTATATGCATTGATACTAAAGAATACATATCGTGTCTTTTCACGGCTGATTTGTGTTCTTGGATTCTGATTCGAAGGGGACACCCACTTTGGCCGATGTAATGCTTGTTGCAGTTCATACAATTTATTTTGTAAATGGTATTAATTTTATCTCCTTTTTCTGTTGGATCTTTCGGTTTGCATAATATCGAATTAAGCGATTTGACTGGCTTGTGTGCTATATCTATATCAAACGGTTTCAGTATTCTAGCTGTTATTTCAGAGATATTTTTTATGTATGGTAGAGTGAATTTTCTTGTGGTCTTTGATGATGGTTTCTTGTTGGTGTTTTGATTCGACTTTAAACACTTTTTGATGAAATTTTGTGGATAACCATTTTTTTTGAAGACCGTTTGTAGGTACTTTTCTTCCATTCTTTTCAACTCTGGAGTGCTACAATGTTTTTGAACTCTTCTAAACAATGTCTGCACACAGTTTCGTTTGTGAGTAATTGGATTATTGATAGTATAGTTGAGTATTTGATCTGTGTGCGTTGATTTTCTATAATTAAGTTCCCTTTATGAATTTAGACAAAGTAATAAGAAGACGTAATTTGTCTGAATCGTGTAATGTATTTGCGCGCACAACACATTTCGAACAATTTGATCACACACAGACTTGTCATAGGAATATATATGAAATTAATTAAGAGGTAAGAGGTGAGAAAATAAATTTAGGTCAAGTTAAAAGGACATATTCAAGGTCAAAATAACAATGAAGATCAATAAACCAAATAACAGAGGTAATAGTACATCTGCAATGGTATCAAAACAAAGTTTACCTAGGAAGGTAGGTTTAGTGTGATGACGAATTGTTTTTGAACGCAGATTGTTCGAAATGTGTTGCGCAAATACATTACACGATTCAGACAAATTACGTCTTCTTATTGCTTTGTCTAAAGTCGGAAAATCTCAAATCGAGTGTACTTTTAAAGTTAATCTAAATAATTTTCATACAATGAACTTTTTGAGCTAGAATGAAAAGGACTATTTCTTGTATTCTAATGTGACAGTTAATAACTGAGATACTGACAGTTTTCTACTTACTTACTTCGAATCAAATGATGGAGGTTAATTATTATAGACTGGTTCGGAAATTCAGCATATGTTTTGTCAAACAATGTATTTTTCTTTATTACAGTAATAATATTCACTTAAAAATAACGATTCAACAACTTGTTATGTTACCTGATGAGGTGTTTTGAACTTAAAGTTTTAAATTATGATTCAGAAATGGAATTGAAGGTTGTAAAAAGTTTGTTACAAAGTAGTTGATATTAACATTTAGACGCCATTTAGGAGAAACATAAAAAATCGAAACAGGGCGCCTAGTATCTGTTTCGTTCCAATTTAAGTATCTTGAGTAGTAAGTATTCGCTCATGATTGAAGACAGCACTGTTGCATTGTTTATTTAACACTAGTAGTTTAAAATTCAGTGACTTGTGCTTTTCATTAAATAATCAAACTGTTATCAGTTATCACTTCCGCTTATCATTAAAAACTCAAGAAATCTACCTCACAGGAAGTCGATTCCAGACCAACTGATGACTATCTATGATGGAAAGTGATTTTGGACAAATCGATTTTCCCCACAGTTTATAACATGAAGCGAGAGGACAAACAAAACTGGATGATATAAAGAGGTTACAGGTTTTTGAAGGTAGGCACTTTCATTCAGTTGCTTTGATTAGGTAAAGCAACGTGTTAATAATGAGATTGGGCAATAGGAGAAAACCTAGATGCCTGAACTTATCAATCTATATCAATTAAGGTGGCTAGAACACTTCAAAAACATGTTGGGTTAGTGCCTTCCTAGCATCGGTGGCACAGAGGTTAGGACGCTCGCCGACCATGCACATGGTCCGGCGTTCAATCCCCGGCCGACGCACACCTGATATCAATGGTCGGTCTGCTAAATTTGGGCTACCGATATCACATGCTGAAAATTCCATACTTGTACCGAAATACTGTGTGGAATCAAGCTATAATAAAATAAATAAATAAAATAGGGTTACGTCAAGAAACATTTTGGACTGGTAGACCGAAATATCTTACTAATCACTGAAGATATTGAATGTTATTCTGAGCAACATGGAGGCGATTGTAGGCTACCTCAATGTGCTTCTCGGAATATTAAGAATCAACGGTTAACGACTTTCAGTAACATGTCTGTAAGTCCTTGGCAAATGCGCTAATGTGTTCACTCTGTGTCATCTTCCAGATTCTGAAAATGTTCACTAGTCATCATTTAATAAACACATCATGATGTGATGCAGTTTAATATGTCCCAAATCTAAAGTGAGAACTGTGTCCTAAGTGATCCGTATCAGACTCTGTCCGCTTTTCCTTATTATATATCGTTCACTAATTTAATATACAATATGCCTAATCTATGTACTATTGGGGTGAGAGCTGGCTGCTAGCCAAAGTTGGTAGACAGTAATTGACGTCAATGTTTATGTCCCCAATATTGGTGGTGAGAAAATGAGAACAAAGGCTTTGCGTAGGCGGATACAGTTAGCATATGGATGATCTGACACAGCCACAAAGAGATGCAAGGTTAACTTTCTGTGAGAAACAACCAATCAAAAGACTGTATTTTCTACTAACAATAATTTGCAGTAATGTACATTAAAATCTATAAATATGTTAATAAACTTGGGCACTGTAGTAGAGTGTAACTCCATTATGGATAAGATTTTATTTTCATAAATCACACAGTGTTACACAGTAATAATAACTGATGACCTTTCGAGCACAAATTATTGCTCATAATCATATCAAGTTACTCACACAACTTTTTCCTTCTTTTATATATATGTATGGAATTGACTAGTCAATTCCATAATGTTAATAAACGATCTGTTGCTTGGCCCTTGTCTTCTGTTGTTACACTATGAACTTTGATATTAAAATGAAAAAGACGTCAAAATATTTATACTTACTTATTCCAATGACTTCGTGATTCTGCTAATGAATTAAAGATAATCGGTAGAACTGTATTTATATTCTCTGACATTAATGATAAGAGATATTCATTATTCCAAAACATAAGAGCTCTTTCTGAAACCTGTTAAGTGAGCATAGTAAGGAAATAGAAAAAAAGAATATTATCATTGTAATTTTCAAGAGTTAATTTGTAGGGATTTGATTTGTCCTCAACTTTAATCACAGATTGATATCAATTAGAAAACCTTTAAAAACAACTGAAAAGGTTTTTGGTCCTAATCTGGGACACACCCGTAACTTCAGCGGGAGGTGGAACCCAGGACTGGCTGACTATTCAGACACTGAAGAATGGAATTCAATGATCTAAGAATTCTAACTTCTGCCAGTTAGCGACCTATGTACATATATACGTGTGGTGAGAGCTGTCTGACAGCCAAAATTGGTAGACAGCAATTTACATCAATGTTTACTTCCCAAATCTTGGTCATCAGAAAAACAAGAACAAAGACTTTGCGTGGGCGGATGCGAATCGCAGATATATATTGTCTGACCTTCAAAGAAACGGCTACAAAGAGATGACAGATTAACTTTCAGTGAGAAAACAACCAATCAGAAGATGCTGTTTCTCTGCTAAAATAACGAATAATAATGTACATAAAAATCTATAAATATCTGTTGATTTTCTCAATAAACGATCTGTTGCCTGGCGCTTGTCTTCTGTCGTTACATACATATATGCTGCGAGACTTTGTAACCTGAAGGTCCTGGTTCAATCCTTAGCGGTTAGGTGATGCGTTCAGATTGCTGGTGTGTCCCAAACTAGGACAGAACAGTGGTCCAGTACACCCTGGTTTTAAATGTTTCTTTCACCGACAACAATCCATGATCAAAGTTGAAATAAATCTTTGTAACTGCTATTATTTGAATACTTCCATTAATATTTGAGTAAGATATATATTAGGAATCATCCAACAGCTGTACGTCAATGCTGCATGCCAAGTAATCCACAACGGGAAACTTACGGAATCCTTCGAGGTGAGGACAGGAGTAAGACAAGCTAACTGCCTACTATCGCCAATGATTTTCCTGATTGCAGTAGACTGGATAATGCGACAAACAGCGGGCAATGAGAAAAAAGTCATAAAATGGACTCACACAAAAAACTTGGAGGATCTGGACTTCGCCAATGATATATGTCTGATTTCCCACAAACTGGAAGATATGCAAGCGAAAAGCAACAAGTTGGCAGAAGAAGCATCCAGAGAAGATAAGACTTCAGGTGAACATAGAGAAAACAGAGATGATGAAGATTCCTGAGCAACACCACCAACAGCAACAGCAACAACAGACAACAATCAGCATAAATAGAAGGAACCTGAAAGAAACAACCTCCCTCACCTACCTACCTGGGAAGCGTCGTTTCAACTACAGGCGGAACTGACGAGGATATCAAAGCAAGACAAGCTTTCACTACTCTCAAGTCTGTGTGGAGGTCAACAGCACTCAGCATCAAAAATAAGATCCGAATTTTCAACTCCAATGTGAAGTCAGTCAGTACTACTATACGGATTGGAGACTTGCACTGCGCATCATAAAGAGCATCTCAAACAAACTACAGACCTTCATTGACAGTTGTCTTCCTCCAATACTCAAGATCAGATGGCCCGAAAAGATCAGCAACAGAGATCTCTGGCAATGAGCGAACCAACCCAGCAGGAACCGATTGTGAAACAAATAGGCAGGAAGAAATGGAGATGGATTGGCCATACTCTGAGGAAACCATCAAGTGACATCACTAGGCAAACCATTGCTCGAGTGGAACCCGAAAGGGAAGCGGCGAGTTGGTCGTCAGTCTGAGGGTGACTTGGAGGAGGTCATGTGAAGAGGAGATGAAAATGTGTGGGCAGAGATGGGGCCAGATGAAGACTCTAGCAGAGTACCGAACGCAATGGAGACGCACGGTTGAAGCCCTATGTTCCTCTAGGAATTAAAGGATAAAATAATAATATATTAGGAATAAGATGTGAAACTTTTAAATATATACGGTTTTACTTTATTGCATATAGGGATAGATTAATGTAGTAGCTTTTATCAAACACATTACATGAATTTATACGAACTGTGATCAAGATTTGACCGAGTAGTTCCAGAACTAATTGAGCATCCAGTGAGAAATAGAATCTCAGAGAAATTGAAATAAATAATTCTAACGTTTCGTTTGGCAAAGTATTTAGTTTTGATGTCTATTCAGGACTCACATGATTAGACAAGGATTTGAAAGGTATTTCCTTGTATATAATATTATATATATATATGACTCACCTGAAAATGCAAAGATTCAATACATTTAGCCAAACGTGGAAATACTTCAGGTATAATAGCTTGAAATTCAATTGGTCCAGTGCATTCAAGGCAAGCTTCTAATTCATTGAGAAAAAGCATTTCTTTAACTGAATTTACTCTAGGCCAAAAACGTAGTAGACCTTCATGAATGATCTGAAAAAAAAGTTTAAAAAAATGTATCATGTATTAAGAAGGAGAGATAGAGGGGGGAGACAGAGGGATGTAGTCATTTTGTATTTTGGATATAAGCATATAATTGTGATTCATTAGAACAATATGCCCATAGAATTATAAATTATTTCCTGACTATCCACAACCGCCAATTACACTTCATATTTTATTACTTCTTGTCATATTACCTCATTCATTTATTGAAAAAGTCAACCAGATAAAGATAAGGGGATATGAGATCGAATTCATGTATTCCCGTAGTCTACCCATATTCATGTTGAATTATCCACCAGAAGACTTTGGACTTGATAGTGATTGGGCATTGCAAGTAAACCATCCAAGTCATAGAACACAAGTACACCAGAAACAATCTTTGCTCATTTAATAAACTGAATTAACATGAAGGCAATAATTATTTTTATTTTAGTTTTTTTGTTTTTTATTTTGATTACAGCTTGATGCCACACCGTCTTTTCAGTACAAGTATAGAATTTTCAGCATGGATATCGGTAGCCCAAATTTTGCCGGCCGACCATAGATATCAGGTGTGCGTCGGCAGGGGATCAAACCCCTGACCATGTGCATGGTCGGTGAGAGTCCTAACCACTGTGCCACCGATGCACACCAATTGTGACTGTACTCCGCTATTACCATTTTATCCAATGGCTTAAAGACAGTAAATAATCTTATGATCTATGTAACTACATCCCGCATCTCACAAGGCTGGAGATTTACAAGCAGAAAGAAACAAGTTGACGGAAGAGATGGCCAATGTAGGACTCCAAGTGAACATTGAAAAGATAGAGTTGATAAAGACACCTAATTAACAATAACAATGGCAAACATGTGGTGAGAGCTGTCTACTAGCCAAATTGGTAGACAGTAATTCACGTCAATATTTACGTTCCCAAGATTTGTCGTGAGAAAATGTGAACAAAGATTGATTCAAAACCGACCACAGCAGACTTTGCGTAGGCGGATGCAGTTAACATATAGAGGATTTGACATTCAAGAAACAGTCACAAATAGATGAAAGATTAACTTTACGTGAGAAACAACCAATCGGAAGACTGTGTTTGTTTGTTTACATAACCATAGTAATGTACATGAAAATATATAAATATGCGTTGATTTCCTTAATAAATGATCTGTTGCCTGACCCTTGCCTTCTGTTGTTACAAACATAAGACACCATCGACGCGAGAAGCCTAAAATCGGTCACCTCTTTTGTTTATCTAGATTGTGTGGTTCCACCTACAGGTGGCGGTGGACTGGATCATACAGCGAACCGTGGGTGGGTGGGGGACAAAGTGAGCATACACTAGACCGACAAGAAGGCTCTAGACGACCTGGACTTAGCGAACGGTTTATGTATAATGTCGAAAAAACTTAAAGATCTGTGGACAAAAACCAACAAGCTGGCAGAAGAATCAGTGGAGATAAGACTTCAAGTGAACATAGAAAAGACAGAGGTGATGAAGATACCTAACCAACAACAACAACAGGCATCAATCACCATCGTCATCTCTTTCACTTACCAGAACTAGGCAGTATCGTTTCAATTACAGGCAGCACGGATAAGAATGTCAAAACCAGTCAACATTCGGAAAGCATGACGAACTTTCATTATTCTGAAATTGGGTGTGGCGGTTTACAACACCCAACATATGGAAAAAGATCCCAATTTATTCTTCTATACTTGAGAGACTTGGCGAGCACCTGACAAAAATCATATCCAACAGGATACACGCTTCCATCAACGCCTGCCTTTTCTTGGAGTACTGAAGAGCAGATAGGCAGTAAAGACAAGCAATAAGGAATTTTGGGAACGAACCAACCAAGAACCTCTTGACCAAAACGTATGCGGAAAGAAGTAGAGATAGACTGAGCATGAACCGAGGAGACTTTTGGGTAACATCACACGCCAGCCCCCAACCCCACCTCGAACACAGCCCCGATGGAGAAGCGACGAGTTGGGCGTCAGGTCAGAGAGTGACATGGAGGAGGTAACAAAAGCTAATGGGCAATCGTGGAGACAGCTAAAAAGGACTTCCGAGAACGAGGTGAAATGGAGATATGCTGTTGAAGCCCCATGTTCTATCCAGAACACAAGGGATGAATAAATAATAAATACCAACTATGTCACTTAACTACAAAAGCTAACTGTTTATGGAACTAGCTTTCTGACAGTCTCAATTTTTAACAAAAATATATGACTGCTGAAAATGTTATAAATCAATTAATGACGTAACAGTGAAATATTGTGGACATATACTGAAGTTATAATGATACAACTCTGCGCCAGAGTGAAATATGAATGATGTCAATGTTTCTTTCGGGAGAACACTTTGAACTTCTTTGGTGAAATAATCATGTTAAAATAGTAATGATAGCTGTAAAATTGGGAAGTCACATCTTTCATCTAATCTTATTGTCCAATCATGACTAATTTATGAATTGGTTGGAGGATTTCATCATGAGCTGACATCAGTTAGAGAACCATTGGAGAACCTTGGAGTACTGGACAGCTTTTTCGTCCTAGTTTGTAACTCTTCATCAGCACTCGCCCACCGAAGTTCAAATTCAGGGTCTTAGGGTTATAAGGCAAGACCATAGACCATTAAGCCACTGGGACCCGATCAAATGGTCCATGAATTGCAAATTCTGCCAATTCATGACATAGCGCGACCACTTCGCAGATGTCTTCTTCGATGAGTTACCGCGTCATCTTCAACCTTTAATTGATTTCAATTCATGATGAAATCCTCCAACTAATCAAACAAAATCCCTACAAAACCAATACTTGATAATTTATGAATTGTATTCAGAAACCCTTTATTACCCAACTAACTGAAGAATTTAAGAATTACTTATTTCTGTTTTGCTAAGGTTTTCACCAATATAAGTTTTTTCTTTTAAATTGTCTATCTTTTATTGACTGACCCAGTTTTATTAAACAATTAAACCAATTCTTCATTAAAATTTGCATACATGAAACATTGTTTTATACAATAATGGAAACATATATTTACCACTGTGAATAAACTTGAATCTTTTTTAATAAATTCTGTTGTACAATAAGTCAATTGAGCATGAAAATGACCCATTGTTGGTGATTTATGTAACGGAAGTAATACTCTGCGTAGAAATTGTTTATGTTCATCTTTCAATGGGGTTTGAAAACCATTGATTATACTATAAAATATATAATGAAGATATAGAAAATAATTAAAGAGAGAGGTAAGATTTACGATTTGAAAAAAATTAACCAACTAACTTTATAAAATTTAAAATAGCATCATGTGATGAATTGATGGAGATTAATTAACAAGCCATAGTACCTCAGTAAAAACAACAAGCAACAATCACCGTCAACGAGAGTATATTTGAAGGAGGTCATTACTGTCACTTATCTAGGCAGTATCGTTTCAACTGCAAGCGGGACATTGCTGAAGATATCAAAGGCGGGATCAGAAAATCAAGATAGGACTTCATTAATCTGAAACATGGCATCAGTCAATGAAATCCACAACAGTTAGTTTAAGCCACGTAGGAAGATGTAGACTTCCTGGTTGGGGTCCTCGGGATGGTAAACACCAATGAAGGCTGGAGGCAATTGGTGATATTGCTCAAAATCATTCTCAATGGCGCAGATGCATCCACTCCTTGTGACTTATAATACCCAATAAATATATATTGTTCTTTGATATTACTATTCTTTCTGCCTCATATTTCTGTTTACTGTCTCTGTTTTGCATTTCTTTTTACTTTCTTCCTCTTCTCTGGCTTTGTGTGCTGAGTGAAGTGTGGCGACTCGAAGTGCTGAACATCGGTGCAAAGTTCTATGTTGAAACCAGTCAGTCAATCTGAAATCAGTATGCAAATCTACTGCATTCAGCATAAAGAACAGGATTCGAATTTCCAACACTAATATCAAGTCAGGGTCGACGCACTCCTTATCTAACCAGAAATAAGCTAGTGAAGAGGAAAGTTGGCTTCAATATCAAGTCAGTAGGTACTTCTATATGGTTCGGAGACTTGGTGTAGGTGTCACCAAAAGCACTTCGAACAGCCTGCTGAAGACTTTCATCAACAGGCGCCTTCGTTCTATACTGAAAACCAGATGGCCGGTCAGAATGGATAAGCAACAAGCGACTTCGTTAGCTAAACAACCAAGAACCTATTGTCTAAGAAATATGCCAAAGAAAATGGAGATAGATTCAACATATGCTGAGGAGACTGTTGAGTGACATCAAGCGCCAGGCCATCGGACGAGAGGAATAGGAGAGGGAAAAGACGAGTTAAGCGTCCGCGGGTGACATGCAGAAGATGATCGTCTGAGGACTAGGAGGAGGAGATTAGAGGTAATGGGCAATCATGGAGCCAGTCAAAAAGCATTGCAGAGAACCAGATGAAATGGAGATGTGCTGTTGAAGCCCTATGTTCCCCTTGGAACCCAAGAGAATAATAACAATGTAATAATAATAATGAAATGAAGCCATGGTAAATTGCAGAGTTCATAGTCATCATTGACATTATCTATCTCATAAGTTTTACCGTGAATTAATTTGATTTCCGCATCAGGTCCTACAGTTATGCATATATACACACACATACCATCCAAAGAATAAGTGTTACTGACAACATTGATGCCTTTTAAATAATTTCGAGTTGTTAAGAGTACCAGCAGATTACAGTTTAAAAGCATGTGTAAGGGATTATTATTATTATTGTTCCCTTGAGTTCCTAGTGGAACATAGGGCTTCAACTGCACGTCTCCACTTGCTTCTGTCTTCTGCTGTACTTTTCACTTGCATCCATGTTAGTCCATACTGTTTCAACTCCTCTTCACACGATCTCCTCCATGTCACCCTTCGACGTCCCACTCGCCGCTTCCCTTTCGGGTTCCACTCGAGCGTTGGCCTGACGCGCGATGTCACCCAGCGGCCTCCTCAGCGAGTGTCCAATCCATCTCCACTTTCTTCTGCATATTTGTTGGGCGATTGGTTCTTGTTTTGTTTGTTCCCATAGTTTCTTGTTGGTGATTCTTTCCGGCCATCTGATCTTCAGTATAGAACTAAGACAGTTGTTGATAAAGGTCTGCAACAGGCTGTTGGAAATATTCTTTGTGACCCGCCAAGTTTCTGATCCGTATAGAAGAACCGACTTGACGTTTGTATTGAAAATCCGAATTTTGTTGTTGATGCTGAATGACAGCGGAAGATTTCCAGATTGGTTTCAGGTTGATAAATGTGTTTCTCGCCTTCCCGATTCTCGATTTGACATCCTCGTCCGTTCCTCCTGTAGTTGAGACAATGCTCCCTAAATAAGTGAATGAAGTAACCTCTTTCAAATCCCTCCCGTTGATGATGATTGGCGCTGGATGTTGCTGCTGCTGTTGTTGTTGTTGGCTGGTTGGTTATTTTCATAACCTCCGTCTTGTCTATGTTCACCTGGAGTCCTCTCTTTGCTGCTTCTTCGACCAGTTTGTCGGTTTTCGCTTGTAAGTCTTCGATTTTGTGTGACATCAAACACAAATCATCCACGCGCGAAATCCAGGTCTTCTAGGTTCTTCACGTCGGTCCAGGATATTCCTGTCTTCTCGTTTCCCACTGTCTGACGCATAATCCAGTCCACCACAATTAGGAATATCATTGGTGATAATAAGCACCCTTGTCTGACTCCTGTGTTTACTCCAAACGCCTCGCTGAGTTTTCCGTTGTGGATCACTTGACATGTGCCGTTGTCGTACAGCTGTTGAATAAGGTTGATGAATATTTGGGGTACGCCGTAGTAGTGTAAGGGATAATATGCATAAAAATATAATGCTAAACTGAATATCAGACAAAATTAGGAAGAGAATTAATGTAGCTAAACAATTCTATCTTTTAAGTGACTTAGAGGGGGGGGGATGGAGAAATCGTCAGGTTTTTAAAACCAAGTAATAATGGTCAAATGATAAAGGTAGCTATACGGATTTCTTCTGAACATGTAAATTCGGCTTCTTTAGGTGGATTACGATGATTTCAGGTATACAGAAACGAAGAAACTAGTAAGGTAAAGTTCTGATTAATAGAAGTATGATAGATAACTCTAAATGTTTTGTTAACATCAACTTCAGTACCTACAAAGTGAACTAAAATGGAGCTACAAACAGACCTTCTCTTTTCCTTGCTTAACTATGCAGAATAACGTTCGGATATCCAGGAAACAATATTCTTCACTCAATCTTTTTGCCTTTTAAATATCCAAGTAGGGATTTTTGCCAAATTAATTTAAGATTTAATCGAGATCTACTGATTAAACAGTGAGTATCTGTTTTTAAGGTTCTAAAGTTTATGGATTTCTTCCCTACACCCCAGGATTAAACCATCAGTGATACATCTCTATGGAGTAAACATTAATCACAATATTAAAATTATCTTCAGAATGGAAAATATCAACACTCCAATTGAAAAAGTTAGTCTCTATGACAAATTTAAGTAAGGCATTAAGAAGACGTATGCTCCAAGATTAGATCATTTCGTAGTTTCCTTATGATTGCTTTATAGTAAGTAATACAATAAAATATTTGATAAACTTCATTGAATTTAACAATAAAGACAGACTGTCCCTTGAAAAGACAGATTCCGTGCCAAAGAAAGCTATCTTTATTAAACTACCATTCAAGGATGACCAGAGCATGCAGTTGACAGCTCCAGAGGCTTCATTCAGCTGTCAAGCGAACATTCTACGCCGCGTCCATTTCCCTTACTTCTCGAACACTTTTGATTCCTGTACCTACGTTTAAAGGACAAAATTCTGTGGACTCTACTTTACATTGTATCTACAAATTCATCTGGCATTGCAGTGATCCATATATAGGTAAAACCAATAGAAGGTTCCGATGTCATCGGAAGGAACATATCCCCAAATGTTTATTAAGTAACATAGGAAATAACAAATGTAATTAATTTGAATGGAAATCCAGCATCATCCACTGCAAAGCCTTTAATAATATTTGGTCACGAAATCGATAATAATGACTGTTGCTCAATTATTCTCAATCATAACTATAATTCAAGGTTAATAAAGGTGGTGGAAGCACTTTGTATTAATCACATGCATCCTATACTATGTGTACAGAAAACAATAGACTTCAATCTTTGCCTACCATGGACTACTTGGACTATTAAAATACGAATGGTTATCACTCTGATCTCACAAACAAAACGGTCAGAATGTTTATTTCCAGAGAATTTAATTAGTATCACTTCCAGTTGACCGTTGAATTCCACTCATATCAGTTGGTCTAATTACGATACATTGATTACAAACTTTTACTAACACAGTATTCAAAATAGCTTACTTTACTACGAGTTATTTCAGTGATAATAGTCAGAAAGCAATGGTTTGTTTTCAAAGCTGATGATTAGAACGATGAGCGAACAATATCAATAAAAATTCCAGTCGAACATCAATTATTCTTTAGCTGGAAACATTTAATTCCCAATACGAAATTAAAACAAACGACAAATTTTACTAGAGCGAAAACTTAATGAATTCATCGGATTTCTGTAGGACTCTTCAGCGGAATACTCTACACGCAGTTATATTTATACTTTTCCCTTTGAGTTCCAAGTGGAACATAATGCTTGGTCTTTGGGACGGGATTCCTAGCCTTACGCCTAACCTTCCTTCTCTTTACACGACTTACTGCCAGTTGAGAGAGGTTTGGGAGTTCGTAGGCCGGCAGCTGAACCCTGGACTACGAGTGTGGTTAACGAGCATTATACCACCAAACCATCGATGCGTGCATATATATATATATATATATATATATAGCACTGTATGTAGAGTATTCAGCTGAGAAGTCCTATCGAAATTCGACATATCCATCTGTTATGGTCCTTTTTTGGGAAGTAAACAGCCATACTCAATAAGAATTATTTATACTTCACTTCAGTTACCTTTTAAATTTCTAGATTAAAATTATCTATACAAAGTTTTAAGTGAAGGTTGAGGGCTAAAAGAAACTCCCTTTGATTTCCTTTCGCTAGTTGACACTTAAAATTACCAGAAGAGATAGAAATCTATACACATGTGAGTGTGTTGTGTGTGTCCATCAACTAGCTACCTTAATTAACGTATTTTCAAAAATGCCATTTTTAAAATCTTGCTTTGAACAAGAAGTCAGAAAAAAAGAAGGACATATATATCAATCTGTTATGGTGTCACCAAGTTTGAGTACGAATGCTAATTGACCGCATGAACGCTTGATAATTTTCTGCTCGATTATACCCTGACACGAACTAATAAAATACAGAAGATTCACACAGTAGGGCTAAAAACGTATATTTCGAAAACAAGTGAGAGAGAGAGAAAGTGACCAAAAGTACAAAAATATATGGCACATATTGATCCAGTCACAAGGCTCGAATAGTAGGCGTACTCTGCCTGCTAGATTCTGATTGGCTGACGCCCGTCATGTGACAACGTGTAATTTGTTTTTGTCTGACTAACAGACTAATGAGACAGATTATGGACAAATATCTGACTAACAGGCTAATAGATAAATTGTGGGTAAATATCACGGTCAGACTTGATTCTCAATCAAAAAGACCTATTCAGACTACATTCAACCATAACGAATTTTGGTCAGGTTAATTGGTCACTGGAGCGTAATCCAGTCCTAAGCTGTGCTGACTGGATTCTGTCAATCAGTTTGAATTGTGGTAAACGATATAAGAGATTTTCTACATATGTTCACTTTCTGAATTAATTTTAGGTGGTTGAATGCAGTCGGTACAATGTCCTGGACCTGGATTTCGTGCTTATTGGTACTCATCAAGGAGATGTTATTATGATATTAAAGGAACTGAAGTTCCCTCTACATCATTCATGTTTAAAATATCCGGCACAACCGCAACACCGGGTGATGTTAGTTTCAATCTCAGAGGCTGCAGATAATCCTTGCAAGTGGGTGATACCAATAAGGATGAAGCCTGGATCCAGGGATTCCTGTTATAATTGCAGTCAACCATCTAAATATTATAATAATATTTCACATCCCATACATTCGTCACCTTCAGTAGCCAACCTTGGTCGAGTGGATTAAACATCAGTTTCTACTGGTGAAGAGACAGGATTATTGACAAACAACATATGCCTTTTGTTATAAATGGCATTAAACTGATAGAAAGCATTTTAATATTTTCCGCAGACTCGTAGCGGTACAAGTCATGAAATGTCACAGTTGTCAAAGTAATACCTTACAGGTTTATGAGATAGGAATATTTCTTAAGACAGTCATTTTCATATTATTTCATAGATTTAAATGTTGCTTCCTTCTGAGAAATATATGATGTAATAGAAAGGCATTGTCAAGTCTAATTTCATAGGCCATATTTCTGATTTCTTACACTCATTTCATCAATACGTTTTAACTAGGAAATAGTGTATTTTGGTGAAATTTTATTCAGAATTTCATCTCATATTTCCGTGTTCCACCACATAACGAAATGTATTTACATCAATTCTAGTGTATAGAAATAATTCAATCTAAGTAAAATCCACTTTTTTATTTAACTAGTTATGTGTGAAATAAAACGAATTTACAAGGAGAAAAAAACAAAATTTGGAAAAATGAAAAAACCAATGTAAATTTATTGTTTTGAATAAGAAGTTTTTGCATAGTGAAATAAACATAAATTTGTTGCGTGTTTTGAAATAATGGTCAGATTCACTACAGTTCATAAATACTACCACCAAAAACCTCAAAGTTATAGTTTTGTAAAAATATTAATCATTTGTTCGGTTATAAAATGGATATATTTTAAAAGTTTCAATCAGTTTTTTTATATCTTTGTGATCCACTCTTTATCTTGACTTTGTTTTAGTTGATGGTAATTAGTAGTGGAATTCAGGATGCGCATTTCGTCCTGTTTGGGACTCGTCAACTGGATGTGCCCGCATCCATAGTGAGAGATACTGTTTGTACTGAGACTCGAACTCGGCATCTATCGTTTCAAACACTGAAACGTTATTCACTAGGCCACTGAGTCACGACAACCACCTCTTGTACAACAAGTATCAGTTATCATTGTTGTTGCTTACATTAACATCATGTTAATTTTCATGCATTGTTGAAGCATCCGTACCAGAAGCCTACAATATCTACAGGGACCGAGTATTTCGGTCCAACAGAGTCAGTCAACGGAAAAGGCAAGTTGATATAAACAATGCTCAGCATTATATACTTTCTAGCTTATCTATAGTACATTTCTCATTCGGTATGATTATTTCTATCAGAAAACATTTACATAAGAGTTTGTGCTTGAATTGTCTTATCTGTGTTGATTTTAATCGACAATAGTGTTTGCATTGGTACTGTTATCCGCACTACATTCAGTTTATTAAGTCATGACCCAAAAATGTTAAATGATATTAAGTCGTTTCAAGAAGTATAAATTAGAACACAGTGACATGTCCGATGAAGAGTTGTCATTCTATTTGTCGGTAAGGAGTGTGTCTCTATTAGCATCTTTCTCCTTTTCTTTAATTCACATCCTTTTTATTTATAAGCTTTTAAAACACTATCCACGTAAAGGCAATTTTTAAAGGTTACATAATTGTGCTTATTGAATGATTTTGAAAGTTTCTATTGTTGATCTATGGGGGGAGGGCTTTTCTTAAGGATATACCGACAATGTCTTCACTGGGACCATGGGGTTACTCATAAACCTACTACATGAAATAATCCTGTATATGTTCCTTTACTCAATCTTACGTCCAGTAATCTGTGTCTCCAGTTTCTTGACATTCAGACGAAGTCTGTATGATTTTTAGTGTGTCCTTCTTGTGAAACTCATGTCGCCTTGTGTATATCCTTTTGCTTATACAAGCTACCTCCAGTCACCAAGTCATTGAAGGCACAGAAGTCTGTGAAGAGTTCTCTTCCTATGTTGTATGCTCCTAATCCGGTATTCATACTAACTCATTGGGATTCTGATATCATCGTTTGGGATCCTGTCCATTACTGTCTGCTGTTGTTTTAGGCAGTCTTCCTTCTTGTCTTGTAAGAGTGTATCATCAGATAATAGTTACTTTCCTACCTTTTGAGTTGAATCTTGGTGTCATTATTCCGGAAGAGATTGGTTCCCACTGCATAAGAGCCTTCGATATCGTTTGTGACATCATGAAAGCGATTGCCAAATTCTGTTCGTGGTTGTCGTCTGGATGACTGGAGTAGAATAGTTGAAGAGTCTGTTTCCATTCCACCTGCTCTCATAGATTCCTAGAACTTTTGTGCCATATTTTCTCATTTCTTCTGTAATCTGAACAGCGGACACTGCACGTCTCTATGCTTACTTTTGCTTTAACCGAAGGGAGACACACCAGCTGACTGTCTTTCTGAAGTCTTTCACCAGCCCGTACCATTTAGTCTCTCCAACCCCAGTGAAGAATCATTTTTTTTCTTATTTATCTTGTGTTTTGAAGTTTCTGCAGCAGTTGGATTTATTTTCCAGGGTAGAGTCACTAGCCCCACTCTCAACTTTCCCTCTGTCTCCGGATTAAGGACCAGCTAGTACATTAGTGAAACAGTAAACTCGATGAAGCCGTTCACCTATCAAAACTGTTAACAATTATTGACTTAAAAAGAGCTGAATAAATTTTTCTGACAAGAATCATTTCGTGACCTAATCTGAAACCAATCGGAACCTTGCAAGCTAGCAATTCAAAATTACTCCAATACTCACTGATGACTAATCAGAGGATGAAGTATCCTGGAGCTGTGGTGAGAAGTCGCGACCAGTGACACTTACTAAGCTGGGCATGAATACTCGTCGATGACATTGACACACGTCAGAATTCATAAGCCACTGAATCCCGTCCCAGTAGCTGAAAAATTAATATGTTCGCTTCGTAATCCAAAGGACCTAGGGCTCCATCCTTGGTGGAATCATTTGAGCGTAATGTTGAAGAATCCTCCTTGCTGGTTTCCACCGGTTATATCACTGAGTTCAGTTCACGATGAATCTAACGCCACCTAGGCCAAAAACTCAAAGTTTCTCTAGTGGCTACAATTAAAAATCACGAATTGGTAGAAGTCAGAATTCATGGGCCACTAGATCCTGTCCCAGTAGCTAAATGGTCTACGAGCTTGCCTTGTAACCGGAAGGTCCTGGGTTCGAACCCCAGTGGATGCGTACTGTCAATGAGTCCCAAACTAGGACGAAATAGCTGTCCATTACTCTCTAGTTTCTCAGTGATCCTCTAACTGATATCAAACTTGAAATAAATAAAATCCCCACCAAAATAACTCTTGATAATAAAAATAATCTAAAAGATACAATTCTGTACACTGAAATTTCGTAACTTAGCGCCGCCTTGTAACTACTATCTTACCTGCCAATAATTTCCAAAAGTTCAGCTATTCCACAATGATTATCTTCCTCGTAAATAAATCTGAAAGTAATTGAATCAGGACAAATTTTATTCACCATGTAATCACATATACAGGTTTTAAAAAAAAACATTTCGATTATGGTGTTATTAAATCCAAGGCATTCTGAATCAATAAAATGTTTCAAACTGAGTTGTTGTTTTTTTTAGATATTTCCAAAATTGAAATATTTATTTTTACTCAGAAGAAAAATACACACATGGTGAAATGTACTACACTTTTGTTCGAATGAAAAACTTACTGGTATGCATGGGAATTAGTTCGAAGTCTTCCCTTTTTTTATTAATGTAGCTGATTATTTTAGACTTTATTGTATAAATATATACAAGTGATATTTATGCATTCAAAAGTCCTCACTGATACTTTGCTTGGACACTAGTTAGTGTACCTAGTGTAATGTGTCTAGTCCCCTGTTTGGTGCAAACTGTATTCTATCAGTCAAGTTTGCAATTTGGTCATCATTCTAGGTGGCTTGCCATCACGGTGCACTTTCAATTGTTGATATTAGATGGTTGGAGGCAATCCGCCACAGGAAGCCTTCGACCTAAGTTTCATGCTAGTTGGTACCCACCACCAGTCAGCAAGGCGTAACTGCAACCTTGAAGGAATTCATGTCCCTTCTGAGGACCGAACCCTCGTCACCCAGTGCTGCAGTCAGAGATGTTACCAGTCAGCTATTCGGGCTCGTGATTGACCTCCTGTAGGACTGTATTGGATATTTTTGATTGGACACTAGTCAGTAACTAGTGTAACTAGGTGACGCGGATTCGAATCTCAGAGGGGTGGGACATGAGTTCCTTGAAGGTTGCAGATACACCTTGCTGACTGGTGGTGGATGCCAATAAGTACGAAACCTAGGTCCAATACTTCCTGCCGATTGCCTCCAACCACTTAAATATCGACATTCCTCTCTGATAACAGAGCAGTCTTTTTACAACACAGCTGTCAACAAAACACAGGAAAACAGTGAAATATGTGCAAAATGTTACGCATATATATATATATATATATATATATATATATAGTAACCTCCAGCTTAGAAGTTAGCTAATTCTTATTGCTTCTGATAATTGAGGAATTGAATAAACTGTTTTTATTTAAAACGTTAGAGGTGCCATTTCTGGTCAGTTTGCATTTCCTGTTGATTGATTATGTTGGAGAGTATTTTTCTGCCTCCGTTGACATATCGGCTCCTCGTACGGATGCTTCAACTGTGTCTGAGCACTAACGTGATGTAGGTTTCTTTGATAGTGACAAGTAGTGGAATCGAGGATGCGGATTTCGTCCTACTTAGGACTCATCATCTGGATGCGAGTGATGGTGTCTCCACTCAAACTTCTCTTAGGTTCACCTTCACTCACTGAAGATTCCAGGTACATCCAGTTGGTGAGTTCCAAATAGGACAAAATGAGCATCCTGCATTCCACTCCTGGTCACCATCAACTAAAATAACAAAACCACATTAACAGTGTAGTTTATATTCATCGTAACAAACAAAAGTTGCCTCACTAAAAAAATTAGTTATTTTACCTTAATACCTGAAGAAATACATTTTAAGTAATATAGTCTAGTCTGTTCTTTCCTAATGAAATTCACTTTTAAAACTTCTTCACCCTGGTCTGATAAACAAAACAGTTTGAGCTTGGAACGGCTGAAAGCCTTCTTATAAAAGGTAATATCGAAGCTGTAACAACTTAAAATAATAATGTTAGGAAATCCAACAGAAGAATGGAAATTATTATCAGACTCATTGTTTATAGCAGTAGCATTAGTACTTAGTTTCAGGCACATTTCGATCATGATTACCGCTCAAGGTTTTAGAACGTTTATTTCTATTTTTTGATTACAAGAAGAGTGAAAGTGCATCACAGTAATTTGATGTCTGTATGGTCTTTGCACTGTTAGACACTGGTTTAATTCTTTAATTTGGCATATATTTTAGTGCATTTTTTCTATGAGATTTTCTTCCACAGACAGTGCAAAGTTATATGAGACAAATTAACTACAAAGTTTAGACAAAGCGATAAGAAGACGTAATTTGTCTGAATCGTGTAATGTATTTGCGCAACACATTTCGAACAATCTGATCACACACGGACTTGTCATAGGAATATATATGAAATTAATAAAGAGGTAAGAGGTGAGAAAATAGACTTAGGTCAAGTTAAAAGGACATATTGAAGGTCAAAGTAACAATGAAGACCACTAAACCAAATAACAGAGGTAATAGTACATCTGCTATGGTATCAAAACAAAATTTACCAAAGAAGGTTTAATGTGATGACGAATTGTTTTTGAACGCATAAAGGTGGTCTAAACTTCCTAATTGCTAGGGCTTCCACAAAACTTTAGGATACGCCCCAAACACGTTTTATAGATAGGTTTAAAAGATCTGTTAACGTCAATTTTATGTCCTGTCTCTATAATATGTTTCGCAATAGAAGAGCTAGGTCTCCTGTTCTCACTGTTAATAGGTTCTGAAGATTCCATTTGTTTCTGAAGCCATTTAGGAATATGCTCTGAAGCCCTTACTTGCAGAGATCGATGAGTCCTCCCTATGTATGTGTGGCCACACATACATTCAAATTGGTAAATACAGTGGGATGTGACGTCATTTTTCGCATGTTCGAAGGGCTTAGATAGATATATTGGCTTTACATTCTCTATTATTATGATATTGGCTGCATAAAAAGTCTTTTTGACAGCAGCGTTCAGTCTTTGTCTAGTTATCAAGCTGCTTTGATGCTCCATATAGGGTAGCTTGATGTACACGTCTTTCTTAGGGGCGAGTTGGAGAGTGGGTCTTGGTGTTCTGACTACTTTATATCTCCTGATGAACTTGTCTGGATAATTGTTATCAACCAGAGTTTGTGTCAACTTTCTTTCTTCTTCATCAAGTGTGTCTTCAGTGCATATTCGTTGGATTCTACTGAAGGGGTACCTTACTAAGGCTCTTTTGTACCGAACAGGGCAGAAACTGTGGTAATTAAGACTAAGCAATATGTCTAGGAAAGATAAACAATTATCTTCTTCTTCTACAGATGTAAGTGATATGCTATTCTGGACTTCATTCATTCGGTTTAAAATTGAGGTGGCAGAACAAGACTTATCACTGATGATTACAATATCATCTACGTACCTTCTATAAAGTGGCACATTTTCGATGAAATCCTCCGATAAACTCTCAATGTACGACATATAAATATCTGCTAAAAGGGGCCCTAAAGGACTTCCCATAGCAACACCATCAACCTGGCGCAAACAATCGCCTTCAAATGTAAACCTAACATTGCCAGTACATAGAAGTAATAAATCCCTTAAATAAGATATAGGGAACGGGATGAAAAAATTGTTTGTGAAAATGTAATCACACAAAATGTCAACTGTTTTGAGCAAGGCACATTAGTGAATAAAGAGTTTACATCAAAAAAGTACATATTCTTATTCATAATATTAATATCGTCCAGAAAATTAACCAATTCAAATGTATCTTTTAACGCAATAATTTTACTAACCATTTAGCAAGCTTATGCGTTGGGGATTTGCACATTGACAATATAGGACGTAGAGGATTATTGGGTTTATGTGTTTTTGGTAAACCGCACATGTGTGGGAATTTACATTCTGATGGCTTTAAAGAGTCAAATTACGTCTTCTTATCGCTTTGTCCGAATTCATAAAGGGAACTAATTGTTTCAACTACTAAGTGTTTAAATACCTTGATAAAGTTAACATATCATTTCATCCAGTACATATTTCCCCTCAGTTGATGATGTTATGACTGTGAAGAATCAACCAGGAAGTTATTCTTAAGGAGATGTCTATTGCAAGCTTCGCTGGACTACTAAGCTATAGTTTCAATAATGGCTTTATCTTCTTGTTGAATGCCTTTGTGTTCGTATTTCATTCTTGCACTTTTCATTTCTTTGTGTTTGGAGTATGGAACATAGGGCTTTGAGCTTGGGCTGTGAAGTTTGAGTAGTGGTAGTGTTGTTTACCTTTACGAACTGTGACTGCTAGCCTCACACACCCACCCTTCCCTCTTTACTGCCCTTATTAGCTTACCAGATAAGCGAGGTTTATCTTAGAGAGTGAGTTGGTGACCGAGACACGAACTCAGGAGACCATCAAACTTTGGCGCAATTGGCGAACATTCTACCGCTGAACATCACCGACGCACATTATTTTTGCACCACTTATTTTGAATACTAAATATATTTATCACCAACCGTTTCTCACTTCACCATAATTTCATTTCTTTGTCGCAATCTCAATGCTTAGATGTACAGAGTTAGTAAATCTAAGTACTGAGGCCAGAAACTGAATACAATGCTGTAGACGCATTCATCCAATATTTTATTGAACGTTTAGATTGCTTATACTATCGTTTATTGATCCTTTTGTCTTCTCAAATTACATCATTTTTCTTTTGTATTGTCATAATTCACCAAGCACATTCTTTTCTCCATCAAGTTTGAGCGATATACTCAATGTGTTGGCTTTTAACATGTTACCCCTGGGTTAATGCTTATGTAATTAGCAAAATTTAGAACAGAAGGAACTACTTATCTAAATGATCAGGGTCTGCAACAATTATTATAAATCTTTACTTGAGTTTAAATCCTTTCATTATCTTTCTCATACGTTTAAATCATGTAAGTTGATTAGTACTCATAATAAATCTGTTTTATTACAAACTGAACACATATCATATCGATTTATTAATTATTATTAACTTACTGTAGAAATATATTATTGACCATACGTCTTATAACTGGTCTTAATGTAACAAGTTTACCATAAGCACGATGCAGTATCATTTTAACCATTTCACGTTCACGTGGATCTTCAGATTTAAATAATTCTAAAAGATTTCTAAAAAATTGTTGATCTAAATATTTTTTTCCTAATGCAGCTTGAAAATCCGGTGAACTGATAAAGCGTAGAAATATATCGTAGACTAACTGAAAATAAAAGAAATTCAAAATTTTAACTCAGTTAAATCAAGCTAAATTGTTACTGACAGTAAAACAAAATACACTTCCAAGCTAGATTTCATCATGAGTTCGAACCCCGGTGGGTGCGTACCACTGAGGAGTCCCAAACTAGAATGAAACAGTTGTCCAGTACTCCCTGCAGGCTTTCCAATGGTTCTCTAACCAATGACAGCTCATGATGAAATCCTGTAACCAATCAAATCAAATCCCTGCAAACCGATACTTGAATTACACAATCATTGAGAGTCATTTCAATCTAGGTTAGGCACCACTTCAGCAACAGTAACTACGGATCAGATCAAGCTTCGGATAATGAGTTTACTATGTGGAGATGTGAATATTCAGACAGTCTGTCACACTCTAAAATCATGAATTCCAGAGGGTGCCATATGACTCCAAGTCACACACACAAACACTGGAAAACTGTCCAGAGTAAAAAGACTTTTGAAATGACAATAGCCTGGACATAAATAAAACAGAAAAAGGGAAATGATATATTGAAGAGGTGGAACTGCGGTGAGACCAGGCTACTAGCCAAAGTTGGTAGACAGTAATTGACGTCAATGTTTATGTCCCCAATATTGGTGGTGAGAAAATGAGAACAAAGGCTTTGCGTAGGCGGATACTGTTAGCATATGGATGATCTGACACAGCCACAAATAGATGCAAGGTTAACTTTCTGTGAGAAACAACCAATCAAAAGACTGTATTTTCTATTAACAATAATCTACAATAATGTACATTAAAATCTATAAATATGTGTTGATTTTCCTTAATAAACGATCTGTTGCCTGGCCCTTGTCTTCTGCTGTTGCAGAACAAAACAAAGCATAGATTTGTGTCACTAGATGTCACCACATTTATGCGGAATATGATATTATATGCCTAAGTATGATAATGATGGATTGTATTTTGAGTTTTTGCTTTCATATGAAGTTTTCTGAAGTATTAATTCTTATTGTGAATAAGTGTGTTCAGTTAAGTGACTACTGGTTAAAGTTTTCATCAAATTTAGTCAGGTGCATCACTGAAAGACAGTTGAGAAAGCCTATTCAAGGGACGTTTAATGCCGGTAAGCTACTCTCCTGTGGAGACAGTTTTATTGACCACTTCTTTGGGAACTTAATTTTTCATGCTCAGGAACACCTAACAATGTGGCTAAACAGAGGTATAGTTAAAACCACCAGCAGTTTTATATTAGATAGCCTCGCCCAAAAAGGCTAAAAAGCTAACATTGAAAGGTCTTTTTCTATCACCTATTGGATACCGAATAAATTATCAAAGGATCGAACATTACAAACAGAAGGGGTAATTTCAATTCGCTTAAAACAACCAGAGATCTGTGTGCAAAAGAAACAGCCCCAACCACAGGTGCCACCCTGACTTACTGCGAAATCTGTAGATTCAAAAATTCCCTCTCATTTTTCTTAATTTTTCTGATATTCAGTTTAATATTACATTTTATGCATATTGTCACTGACAGATACTTTTGAACTGCAGTCTATCAGTACTGTTGATTCAATGTAATTTAAAAACATTAATGCCATCGAGTAGAATCTGAATGGGAAACGACGAATGGAGCGTCCGAGGGTGAAATGTAGAAGATCATGTGAGGAGGGGATGAGAGACTATGGGCAATCGGCTAAGGAGGACCGCAGAGAATTAGACAAAATAAAGATGTGCCGTTAGAGCCCTATGTTCCATTCGGAACCCAAAGGAACAATAATAATATTAACAATAACTGCAGAACCTGAGGAAGTTGTCGGAAGAATATTCTTTTATCGCTAATCAGCTGGTGACTAGTTAGAAATGTAATTGGTTGGAGGATTTCATCATGAGCTGACATCAGTTAGAGAACCATTGGAAAACCTGCAAGGAGTACTGGACAGCTGTTTCGTCCTAGTTTGGGTCTCTTCATCGGGGGATCGAAACAACTACCCAGTACTCCCAGGTTTTCCAATGGTTCTCTAACTGATGTCAGCTGATAATGAAATCCTCAGATCAATCAAACAGAAACCCTACAAAACCAATACTTCTTGAAAAATATAATTATCAAGGTTAACTGACAATTTTAAAGGTGTAACATTCAATGACTATTTGAAGTAAACTAATTTGCTTAACAAAAGGTTATGTAAGAATGTGATTGGTCTTTTTATCATGCTATTCACATGTGATCAAAGTATACACCAAATTTTCGTGTCGCAATAGCGAAATCTTTTAATCTGGTAAGCATGTGTTCTAGGCGTGAAATCGAAGCATCTTCTTGAAATAAATGTTGTGTATGTACAACGTTTTTAAATTACGCGCAAACTAAATTGTTTTGCACAAAGAAAATTAAAAAGTCACCACCCATAATTCATGAACAGTCTTCATATATCTCAGACAAAATTGTATCCCGACAAAATTAAAGAATGCGAATTTTATCACAAGTGAAAATTCTCTCTTTTAAATGAAATTAGATAAGATGATAAGTCAGGTAAAATTGAAGAAAACATATTTATGAGCTAATAAAACACCGAGAGGGGAAAGCGGGAGAAAGACGTGTTCACAGGAGGGAAAACTGTCCTTTTTGATAAAGCCATCTATTAAGCTCTACAATAGGCTCGCTTTCCTTTCTGTGTTACTATCATATTGTTGTTCACATCTTCTATTACACACTAATTTTATATTTCATATTCCTGTGGTGCATTGTTTAAAATGTGAATGCAACGCTGTTATTTTTTATTTCTTTTTATTTATCTATTTTTTTGTTGTTATTGCTTTTTGTTTTTAAAATTTTATAAAACTTATAAGGTAATTAGATGCAATGTTGTAATGCACGCTGAAAATTCCACGCCTGTACCACAAATACTGTTTGGAATAAAGCTATCATTATTATTACTATTATTAATATTAATATTATTATTATTATTAAAATCACTAGGCTACTTAATTTTCCATCCATCAAAATGTATCCCTATTTCCTCTATTTCATGATCACTGAATTATCCAATTACAACTATGAATGGCAGTTTGTACTTAGGTTCATTTTGCGAAGAAAACGGAGAAAAAGCGTAGCAGATTATTAGAGAGTGCTTTAATGAATAGGTTGATATTTCCTCAGATGATACATTACCGATTATTAGTTTAATTGAAGATTCTACATCCGTAGTAACTACATTAAAAATAGAACAGAACAAAGTTATTGCTATTAGAAAAGCGTATTAGATGGAGTAAAATATCCTAGAATTACTTAATGTCAGGGGTCAAAATATACTGAGTAATAAATGCAGTTATTATAATAACAAAATAAGAATTTAGTATAGGTAAATATAAACTAGATTATGAAAAATAAAATACAAATACATAGCAGGAGATTTATGTGGAACGTTGAACTTTCCGCGTATGGGAATGGCATAGAAATAAGTTGAATTTCCATTTTAAGAACGCCCGGTATCGCTTACGACTCGTATCTCGACTATGTGAAATAAATGAAATTAGGATTATATTCAGGTGTTAGTTTGTAGGGATTTGATTGGTGCGTCAAGCTTGATGACGGATCGATATCAGCTGGAGAATAGTCGAAACAGGGGAGTAATGAATAATTATTTCGCCCCGGTTTAGGACTCTTCAGAAGTACCCACCCTTGAATCCCCCAGGTTACGAACTCAGGACCCTCATATTAGGTCGCCAGCTCGTAGACCCTTCAGTCACTGGGACGGGAAGGAATGGCCCATGAATGCCCACTTCTGTCAATTAGCAATCTTTAGCGCCACTGCCAGCCTATGTCATCTGCGGGTGCTTGTCCGCACACCCGATTTAGTGCACGAAACTGGTTATGACTTCTCACTAGAATTCCAGGCAACTTTTTCCAGTAACTAGTCACTAGTGTGCATTGGCTGGCGATAGAGTTAAAAATCGCGAATTGATAGAAGTTGGAAATTCATGATCTATTTAATCCCCTCCCACTGGCTGATTGGTCAACGAGCTCGTCACATAGCCCAACGATCCTGAGTTTTATTCGCGGTGCGGTCTTGTGTGCGTACTGCCGACGGTTACGAAACTAGGACGAAATGGTTTCCAGCGATTCTCTGACTGGTGTCAATGCATGGTCAAAGTAGAATTATTTTACCCATTTCGTGATTATTTTAAAATTCAGAATTTTTAACCTCCTGTTCAAAACTCAAGTTTTCACTAAAGCAGTAAAACAAGCCGATATTAAGTGAGGATGTCATTAAACACTGATGACTAGGCGGAAATTTCGCCTAACGTCATTCAAGTGTCAAGTTAGCAGTATTTTACTAACCTTCTGAAAGTATTTAAATACTTCTACTCGATAAATAATTGATTTTCTTTTTAGTCTACCACACTTTTTAAACTCTTTTACAGGTTTTTAGATTACATAACAAACACTGTTTAAGTAAATTCGTATTTACTGCTGATTGATTATGTTAGACTAAAATGCTGGATCTCTGTTGACATGTAGGCTCATTATTTGGAATGCTTCAAAGGTGTCTAGAGTTTAACTTATGATATTAATTTAAATTAGGGGTGACTAACTGTTGAATTGGGGATGCTCATTTCGTTCTGTTTGGGAAGTAGTAGCTGGATGTCCCTGCATCCCAGCGAGTGATGATGTTCTCACTTGAGTATGCAGGCACATCCAGCTGATGAGGGATAAATAGGATGAAATGAGCGAGCTGGATTCTACAGCGAGTCACCACCGATCAAATTAAGTAGCACTCTCGTTTATAAAAAATCAGTCTGGAAATCTACTCCAATAAGCATTAGGATCAAGATTCGGATTTTCAACACAAGGGTCAAGTCATTTCTTCTGTATAGGTCATAGACTAGGTCTATCACAAAAAGCATTTCCAACAGGTTTCAGATTTTTATTAACAGTCTCCTTCGCCCCATTCTGAAGATCTGATAACCACCCAGAAAGGATTAGCCACAAGGAACTTTGGGAACAAACCAACAAAGAACTTATTACCACTCGTAAGATTTAGATATGATAGAGAAGATTTGTAGCTCAGGTGGATGATTTTGATATGGTTGTGTTCTCTGAGCTGGATAGTTGATTTGCGAAGCTTTCATCGCCCTACTAGGCGACATCTTCAGCGCATACTTCAATTTGAAGTGAGCTTTCAGATTTCTCCAAGAGTTTATTAATAATTTCTCCTTGTGACCTTCGCAAATTAACTATCCAGCTCAGAGAACACAACCATATCAAAAACTTATTACCATCCCAACAAATATGCGGAAGAAAATGGAGATGAATCGAACACACGCCATGGTCGGTCGGTCGGTTTTCGACATAGAACTTTGCACATATGTGCGGCAGTTCAAGTCGCCACACTCCATGTAACACACAAAGCAAGAGAAGAAAGTAGAAGAAATGCATAGTATAGACAGTAAACAGAGGTGTGAGACAAAGGAATAGTAATAACGAAGAACAAAACAGTTTCATTGGAAATCATAAGTCACAAGGAGTGGATGCATCTGCACCAGCCACTGGGAACGATTTTGAGCCATGTCACCAATTGTTACCAACCATTGGTTTTTACCGTCCCGAGGGCCCCAACCAGGAAGTCTACACCTTCCTACGTGGCTTAGACTAACTGTTGTGGATTTCATTGACTGGTGCCATGTTTTCGTTTGACCACCGTTAGCTCTTCTCCAGCCTGGCCCTATATCAGCTAACATTGCCCGTCGAGGAAGACGATGGCTAGGCATGCGTAACATATGTCCTAACCATCTCAGTCGATGTAGCTTCACAGTCTCGTCGACTGATTTCCCCGCCTTACCTAGCACTCGACGCCTAACCTCAATATTGCTCACCTTATTATACCACTTCAAGAGGGAGATAGAACACAGACACCTATGATCGAACACAGCTAATCTTTTCATGTCTTCCACTCTCAATGGCCAGATCTCACAGCCATAAAGGAGGACGGAGCGGACTGTTGAGCAGTACACACGCCCTTTGGTCAATAGTCGGATATCACGTCAACTCCAGAGACGGCGTAAACTGGCATATTCGAAACTAGCCCTCTGTATTCGTGCTGAGATTTCGTCGGAGACTGTTGAATGGGACTCGAATGGAGAACGACGAGTTGGGCGTGGGTTCAAGAATGACATCAAGGAGATTGCATAAGGGAGAGATGAGAGCTTATGGGCAATCGTGAAACCAGTTGAAGACGACTGCAGAGAACAGAGTGAAATGGAGATGTGCTGTTGAATCCCTTATGTTCCACTCGGAACCCAAGGGAATAATAATAATAACGATAATGCATTTTAAAATGACACAGAAGGTAACTTACCTGAAGATGTGGCCAAGATGGTTCTAAATTTGTCATTTGTTCATCATCATTATCTGCATAATCTAACATTTCTGTACTTGTATTAGTTGGTACAATTGTACGAAAGACATTGACTTTTAGCAAGTTTATAATACCCATGTAAATAGGTTCAGTAAGTGAACTAGAATTCATTGAAATAAATTCAGCTAATTCTAATAGTGTTAATCTTTTAATCTCTTTTGATTTTAACTGAACACTATTATCATTGAAATCGAATAAAGTTGAACACATTCGTATTTTATTGAGCAATAGGGTTTCTCGTTCACCTGGTGGTGTCTCTAAATTTTCATTTAATGTTAACAAAAGAAAAGAGATACAAAAGGTATTAAATAGGTCACTATTAAAATTCAAAATGTAAAAGAGAGTTTAGGATAGTATTTTTCCAAGTTGATCACGGATTGATATCAGTTAGAGAACCATTGAAAACCAGCACTGGAGTACTGGACAGCTGTTCCATCCTAGTTTGGGAATCATCGGCAGTAAGCACTCACTGGGGTTCGAACCCAGGACCTTCCTGTTACAAGGCAAGCTCGGATACCACTCAGCCCCTGGGATTGGATTCAATGGCTCATGAATTCTACCTTCTGCCAATTCGTGATTTAGCGCGACCCCGACCTATGTCGTCGGTGGGACATCCATCCTCACGAGCTTGCCTTGTGACCGGAAGGTCCTGGGTTCGAACCCCGATGATTCCCAAACTAGGATGAAACAGCTGTCCAGTACTTCCTGGTTTTCAATGGTTCTCTAACTAATCTCAATCCGTGATCAACTCTTAAAAACAAAACTAACCCTTACAAACCAACTATAGAAAATAGCATTTTTCATTAAAAAACGTTCTGATATAAAATCAAGAGCCTGTAAACATCTGGTGAAGATTTTAATATGTGACAGCGAAATGGTAGTGAGTGAGTTAGTTAGGTATTGAAAACGTTTATGACGCCAATGTTTTATTCTGTAGGTAACTTGTTATCAAGAAATAATCACACTTGCTTACAAATACATAAAACTTGGTGAATGTCAAGCTTGTCTGTGGTGACTGACAATTTCTATCTCTGTATTGTTTAAATACTTACTGTTGTTTGTTACTATATTTATTATTTGATTTGAAATATAATTCCGCCAAATACAAATTCCTAAATTCATCCCTCTCTGTGTTTTTGGTTGAATTCCTGTAATTCGGTCATTGCGAAATACAAATACTACTATTACAAATAATTATCACTTTGTCACTAAACTAGTAACCAATCAAATCCCTGCAAAGCAACACCTGAAAATTATTCTGGTACTGCAGACTGGCTCTACACAGGAAGTTCGAGTGAGAAGTCGTTACCAGAGGAATCCACCAAGTCAGGTAAGTGAACAGTTATTCGACGATGATATTGGCCGGCGGTTGCGCTACATATTTAGCAAATCGGCAGAAGTTGGAATTCATGGGTCGTCGGGTCCCAGTGACTGAATGGTCTCTCGCCTTGTGACCGAAAGTTCATGGGTTCGAACCCCAGTGACTGCATACTGATGAAGAGTCTCAAACCAGAACGAAACAGATGTCCAGTGCTTCCTGGTGTTTCGGTGGTTCTCTAACTGACATCAGCTCGTGAACAAAACCTGTAGCCAATGAAATCTTCGCAAACCAATACTTGTGAAAGATGTGTTTCCTTCAAATTTTCTATTGCTTATGGTACACCTAAAGATTTTTTTAAATATGATCTGAGTTGTATTTACACTAATACATATTGAGAATAACAGTTTGACTAGAAAAATCTTTACTACAATGGTAAATGAAACACATCATTTATTTCGTCGGCTTCTCATCAGCTGCTTAAAGCCTAAATAAATTGTGAGGTTTACGTGCAGAAAAGTTTTTTACATACTTGCAAATTTTACATGTTGTCGGTTGACAGGAAGTTACACAGTAAGTGAACAGTGCTCAGAAAATTGCGCTTATATAGTTTTTTCACAGGCAGTTCAAGTTTAAACAAAATAGATGTATGCATACAATGGTAAAAGAGTTACGTAATAAAGACGAGAGGTGAGTAAGATGATGAGTAACTAATAAATTTGGTAACGATGTACTGAGTTCAAATCACCTCATAGAAACAAGAGACAAGCAATATTACAGATTTTAAAAATAAAATAGGAGGGGTAAGGTTAAAGACAAAGATTACGTAATCAGATTAGAGAATAAAGACATCCAGTTACCATGGCAAGGAAAGACTAATAACTGCTTCTTTCTGAACACATAAATCTGGTTCGAGGCGTTTGATAGAAATTGCTTCGGCAAACTTGAGGAGAATGGAGCTCCTTTGTCTATTGATAATTTTAAAGGATTTCTCGATTTCCACCTCATGACCCGTGTCGAGGAGATGCCTGGCGATGGCACTGTTTAAAGAATTTGTTCCCTTTAGACGTAAGCACTGTTCACTTACTGTGGAACCTTCTGTCAACTGACAACATGTAAAATTTGCAAGTATGTAAAAAACTTTTTTGTACGTAAACCTCACAATTTATTTAGGCTGTAAGCAGCTGATGAGAAGCCGACGAAATAAATGGTGGTATCATATTATTCTGCACAAACCACCGTTGTTCTCGCTTTATTTAAATTCATCAAGGGGAATAAATGCAAGAAATGAAACACACACAGACAAAATCACCATTCATCCTTTAATACAAATATAACTAAATGAGAAGATTTCATTAATGTTTTCTAGGTGTCAGAAAAGAATACCAAATAGACGTGAAGTATATATGTGCATCAGTGTGAAAATTATAAGGAGAAATATGATACTAGAACAATTAGTCATCCCTGAATATAAAATATGTGGCTTATTAGTCTAGTGAATATACCCACTCAACTACTAGTGTGAACGTTATTTGATTTTGTACAAACCTCTAGTATTGTTAATAACACTTTAATCACATGACAAATAAAAACTGGTACGTTAATGGTACGGCTAAGTAAAAAGCGCATAAAGGTCATATGGCTGTGTTTCGAAATAGGGTGCCACTACAAAAATGACAGGAACAGAATGAAGACAAAACATAAACAACATGTTGCCATGCTATTTAAATGTCTCCAAAATCTAGTTCACTCATAATCCTATTGTAGCAGCAGAAGGCAAGACACGGAAGCCAAGGTATATTTTCAAGTGATCGAACCGCCATATATATATATATATATATTCTTTAGGCAATCACTGAGCTTGTGATTCCGGTTTACGTTAAACGACATGAAACAGAATGTTCAAATATACATAGTATAGTGTTTCTAAGGCAGTATTGAACTGTGAGAATATGTGAGAATAATAATCCGTTGGAACACATTATCCGTATCACACCACCACACTATGTCTTTTGAATAACTCAGCAACATGTCGGTTACTTTCAGTTCAGAATGACACTATAATGGTTAAAATGTGGGTAAAAATGACTGGGTAGTAAGATGATGAGTAGTGAATATATCCAACACACAATAAATTAATTTAGGCCATAATTATTAAGATTCTGAAATCGCTGATTCTTAATATCTTGACAATCCCATATAAATAACTAACACCACCCTAGATCATTCCAATCACAAATCAGGGAATTCACATATTCGTGGAATATTTGGGTATGAGAACTTACAACCATATTTTTTTCAGTCTAAAGCCTGCTACGTTCAACATAGTGGCAAGAGTAATTAACAGACACTTAGTCACATTTTCTCACCACTCACTGCATCAATTTAAATGAATGACTGGTTTCAACGTACAACTTAACACAGATATGCAGCAGTTTGAGTTACCACTATCTCTCCACGTAGCACACAAAGCAAGAGGATATAGTAAAGAGAGATTCAAAAGAGAGATAACAAACAGAAGTGTGAGTGTAGGAAAAAGAATACTAATGTAGAAAAAGCAATAGAATTTTATTAGATATGATTAATCACAAAGAGTGAAATCATCTGCACCAGCTATTGAGAACGACGTTTTCGAGCTATATAACCAATTGTCTGTTTCTAGCCTTCATTGGATTTTACCACCATCCCGAGGACCCAACCAGCAAGCCAGTCAGGAAGTCTGCACCTCCGTACATGGCCGGCTGGCTGGCTGACTTAAACTAACTGTTGTGGCTTTCATTGACTGATGAAGCCATGTTTTGGTTTGGTCACCACTAGCTACTTCTTTTCCACCACTTCAGATGACAACTCGCTGTAAGCTTTCACTTGGTTGCATGAGTTCGAGTAGAGTGCCTTGATCAGTGCAATGTATTTTCTCGGTATTCCTTTCACAGCCAAACATCGCCATAGTACCTCTCGGTCGACAGAATCGAATGTCGCCTTTAGGTCAAGAAATATGACGATTGTTGGACCTGCCGGTAAGTATGCCTGTTCCAGAATCTGTCGAAGGGTAACTATATGATCGATACACCCTCTTCCTGGTATTAAGCCTGCCTGGTTCACTCGTGTTTGTTCCTCCCGTGAACCGCTTAGTTTACGCATTATCATTGAGCCTAGAACTTTAGATAGCATATTAGTCAAGCTAATCTCCCTGTGATATCACAGGATGTCCTTTTGTATATGGATAATCAATGACTTACACCAACCCGACTGGACTTCCTCTGATTCCCAGACGCTGCCTAGTACCTTAGTTACTGCAGACAGTAAACTGTCTCCACCGTACTTAAATACCTCTGGAGTCATCCCATAAGATCCTGTTGCTTTGCCTCGTTTCAGACTAGTGACAGCCTTAGTAACCGCAGTTAGGGACGGAGGACCTGCGTCTATATCCCATTCAGGGAGGTGTTGGATGCTGGGTAAGTTGAGCGTGATTGTAAGCCAGTTAAATTGCTCCTCAAAGTGTTCTTTCCAACGTTCCAGTCGTCTATTCTGAGAGCTAATTATGGTGCCATTTTTCTCGGAGATTGTTTCACTTATCATCCGCCTATTGCCACCTATTTCCCTGATAAGTCTAAATAGTTGTCTGGCGTTACCAATCGCGGATGCCTTTTCCATCTCTTTCGCTTTCGTCACCCACCGCCAACTGAAATAAGATAGTGTTGGGAAAAAACCAGAGATTGGACAAACCAACGAATTGCCCCAATCCACGAAATTACTGAACATTAGTAATATTTTACCATAGTTCATTTCTTATCCTTTTCTTTCAAATATTTGTACCTTTCTTTGTTCTGCCCACGGTATATATAACCAAATATGTAGAACACTCAGCTGAGGGGAATTAACGATATTTCATGAGTGTACTAAACCATTTGTTGGTTGCTTTTTTAATTGTGTTTTTGTGAGAATTCGGATAAGTTTCAGTGTATATTTCGTCAAGGATAAATATTCGTCAGAAAATCACTGAAAATCACCAGCAAGCACTGGACAGCTATTTCTCCAGCATGTTGACTATTCAGCCACTTGGGACAGAGTTCAATGATCTGTGCAGTGTGACTTCATGACCTGAATGTCTTGAGTTTGATTCTTGGTGGTGTTGGGGATGCACGTTGCTGAAGAACAGTCATAAACTAAGACGAAACATCCCTCTAGTATTCCTTGCTTTTCAATGATACTCTACATTAACCTTTATCAGTTGTTTTAAAAAGGTATTTAGTTAGCCATAAAATAGTAAGAATGGTATGGATAAAATTAAAGTGTTTTTTGTCGTAAGTGAAAAAAATGTCTATATCACTTTGAAGCAACTCACTAAATGTTTGAAAGTATTGATTTCACCTATACAATAATACCTAAGTTAATTAGTTTATAATTCTTGCAAATATTTCAATATATTCTAATGAGAAATTGTAACAATCTTCTCTTTTCATTCTACATAATTCATTTTATTCTGTATGTGGCCAGAAGTAAATTCAACTTTATTCTTAGCATAAAATAACTCAAAACACATTTTCAAGTTAAATAAGTCAACTAACTGGACTTACCAACTAATAAAGGTAGAGCTTTTAACTCTTCATGAGAAGTTTTAATAAATCTAGAGGACGATTGTCTTGGCGGTTGGGCAGTTGTAGATATCCTGTCAATATCTTGTCGTTTTACATCATTTTGTCGAAATTTTCTTCCAAGAGAAACTGGTGACAAGCTAGATATTGCTCTTGCAAAATCTGGGACTGGACTAGGTGCATGGGAAATACTTGTCACTGAATCATCTCGATAGTTTTCAGTCTTGAACAAAATGGATATAATAAGTATGATTACAACAAAAGTTAGACTTTTAAGCTGAATAATAATAATAATCCGTTTTTGCTTATCTGTTTTATTACAATAAAAAAACAGTTCCATTCGAAGAGAACGTGCTACAATGATTTAACACGAATGGATATCACCGAAACTGTAGGATAATATAAGTTGCAAAAATGAACTGACTATTTATTTTATTCCTTTACGTTCCCAGTGGAACATAGGGCTTCAAGCTTGAGCTTTGACGTTTCGGTAGCAGTGATGTTTATTTTTACGGTATGGGGTTGCTAGCCTCATGCCCAACGTTCCCTCTTTACTGGACTGACTAGCAGCTTAGCGATGTCTTAGAGTGCGTCGGCCGGGGATCGAATCCCGGATCACATGTGTGGTTGGCGAGCGTTCTACCACTGAACCACCGACACAAAATGAACTGAAACGATCACTTAATTTCCATAATAGAGTAATTGTAAAGTCATACTGTTGATCAGATGGCTAGCTAGATAGACTTAGCAATAAAGAATACTGACGACGGACCAACCAAAACCTGAGTTGGAGGCAATCGGCAGGAAGCCTTGGACCTAGGTTTCGTGCTAGTTGGCACTCGTCAGCAAGGCGTATCTGCAACTGCCTTGAAGGAACTCATGTCCCTTCTGAGATTCGAAGCCGCGTCACCCAGTGCTGCAGTCAGAGACGTTACCACTGAGCTATTCGTCACTCAGTGGTAACGTCTCTGACTGCAGCACTGGGTGACGCGGGTTCGAATCTCAGAAGGGACATGAGTTCCTTCAAGGCAGTTGCAGATACGCCTTGCTGACGAGTGCCAACTAGCACGAAACCTAGGTCCAAGGCTTCCTGCCGATTGCCTCCAACCATCTAATATGATCACAAACTATGTACACCGTGATGGCGAGCTACCTAGAATGGTGGCCACATTACAACCTGACTGATAGAATTCAGTCTGCACCAAAGAGAGGACTAGACGCATCACACTAGTTACTAGTGTCAAATCAAAACAACCAAAAACCTGCCGCCCAATAAATTTGCAGAAGTAAGTGGTAGTGGATTGGACCTACACTGAGGAAACCGTTGACTGAAATCACGCACCAGGCCATTGAGTAGAACCCAGATCGAAAGCGACGAGGTGGGTGTTGGTCAGAGGGTAACATGGAGGAGATGGTATGGGGAGGGAATGAAAGCTTATAGGCGATTTGAGAAGCCAGTCAAAAAGATGTAGATGACCGAATGCAACGGAGATATAATTCTGATGATCTATGTTTCAATGGAATAATAATAATAACACTCAAATGAAGTGTCCAGAATCTTTTGTTATATCATTTGACCTGTTTTCCAATTATTCTGATTAGCTTTGCATATGCAAATGGTTAGACTATACAGAATCAACATGTAATCCACATCACAAATTGATTCGAGTAATTAAGGATCGCTCATACTAACCAGATCGAGTTGGTCCTGATATTATGCCGCTGTTTCAATCTCTCAGAGTCCGGCTGATCAGTTGTGTAAGCAGACCGGTTGGACTGAGAAACTTGGATGTTTAAAAAGTGAAATGAACTTGTGCATAAAAACGTGTACACATTTGTCTATCTGGATGAAAAGTTAAAATCAACATGAAAATGTTAAAATAATTTTACAAGGACTGTTGATTGTAATGTAGAAATATTAACTGTAATTTATTCCTCATATTATGTAAACTGACGTTGTACGCCAGTTAATCGTATTTCAAGTTTTATAATAATAAAGGTTTTTGTATTTCCCAATGAATGAAAAACAAAACGATATTGTTTTTACTGACGTTTCGCTATTTAATGCTAATAGCTTTATCAAAGTATTATTAAACCCCATGAAGTGACAAAATCAACACGAATGTGATAAGCAAGTTCACTATGTAAACACACACTGCTTTTATAATTTTACACACTGATCAAATCCAACAATCTACACTTGATTTTGTTATCTTTACCAATTGACCAACTTGACAACGAAAAATGACCCCAGACTAACGAACGATGATCAAGTTAGTAAACTTTGTTTTGATATCATAACAGACGTACGATTACCTTTGTTATTTGGTTTAGTGATCTTCATATTCTTTCAATATGTCCTTTTAACTTGACCTAAGTCTATTTTCTCACCTCTTTACTCTTTGTTATATATATGTTGAGATTTTGTAAATTCCGATTTAATAATACTACTTTGATAAAGCTATTAGCATTAAATAGCGAAACGTCAGTAAAAACAATATCGTTTTGTTTTTCATTCATTGGGAAATACAATAACCTTTATTATAATGAATATCATATACCCAATGCCCAAATTTTTTCAAACTGTTAAAAGTGAATTTAATTTTTAGATTTTCCCGTCACTTGATTGGACCGAAGTGCTCGGCTTCAAGTTGACATAGATAACGCTTTGGCGTTTGAAACTATGGGCACTGGGTTCGAGCCTCGGTGGGAACATCATCACTCACTAGGGAATGCAGGTACATCCAGATGACGAGTCACAAACAGGACGAAATGCGCGTCCTGGATTCCACTGCTAGTCACCATACACCAATTAAATGTTAAAAGTGAACTTAGTTTGGACATAGTTATTTCAAGTTTATCTAACTATCTCAACAAACTAAGAACATCACACTATTCTTCCGCTTGCATTTTCCGATGTACAATTCATGCTTTCAATGTAAAACTCATTTATGTTGTCATTCTGATAAAATATCATCACCTGAATATCTGTTAAAGAATTCTACGTTTTCCAAGTACGTTTCTACGTTTCGAAGTTGTGGTAGAAAGCTTGGCAACCACGCCTCACGTGCTCCGGGGTTCGAACCCCGACCAATACAGTCCTAAATTTCGCTTAGCTGGCGGCAGTAAGGCCGGTAAAGAGGGAGGGTTGAGTATGAGAGTAGTAACCCCACTACTCCGTAAAAATAGAACCAGTGCTACTGAAATGTCAAAGCTTGAGCCTGCAGCACGATGTTCCACTCGGGATGAAATGGAATAAAATAAAGGCTGAACGAACGTAAACGACATGTTTCTAGGCTATTTTGAATAACTCAGTAACATACCGGTTAATTTCAGTATAAAATAAATAAAAAATAGCCATATATCATGCATTTTTTTAAAAATGTGTACAATCAGTATTATTTGCCGTTTTAAGCTGAAAATTTTATGCGAACTACTTAAATTACAGAACTCTACTATAGGCGTTACACACAACTTGTGATGATCTTTACTGCTTTCCTCTGCTGAGAATACAGAATGGAAGTTTCATTGCTATCATAATTCACCAATCAATTCTGTGTATGGTAAATTCTACAGTCTGAACAGGATATGTACTCAGTGAGACATGAATAAGTTTAAGCCCCTTGTTCATAATGTTGGAGTGGAGAACATAAAGGACCTGCTAGCTAATTGCTGATTTTAGACGTATAGATAGGTATATTTACTGTCAGCAGAGTACATAATGTTCTTGTCTGGCGATTTAAGCTTAATGAATCATTAGTTAAACAGTTTAACGAAAGCTAAATAAATACACTGTGTTCACACTAAATGATTATTATTGTTCCCCTTGGTTTCCGAGTAGGACATAGGGCTTCACAATAGCACGTCTCCACTTTGTTTTATTTTCTGCTGCACTCTCTAGCTGACCCCACGATTGCTTATAGTCTTTGGTCTGCTCCTCACACGATCTCCAAACCATACAACTAAAGCGAATATCTTATCTTAGCACAGTGAAAAATAAAAGTGAATTAGAAGTCTGATTATCTATCAAATTTTGTAGCTCATATTCCATATAGTCAAAGTGCTCAATAATTTAAACATTAATGTAATTCAAGCTTTCATTTTCTTCTAGAAACCATTCCAATGCCTTTTTTGCATTCCTTGTACTCCGAATGGGACAGAGAACTTTAGCCTTTTGAAGTTTCAGTAGATGTGGTGGGTTTGTTAGCTTCACAGACAACCTTCCCACTTTTACCCGGTTTACTAGTGGTTAGGCAAAGTTGCTGAGTGTGTCGGCTGAGGATAGAATCCGAACATCTCACGTGACTGGCGAGCATTTTCACCAATCGAATCACCGATGCACCATTCTCGTACTATTCACAACTAATCTATGGTTTACCAGGCAGATAACATCAAATTTTTTCAAAACTAGAATCAAGTGTCAGTGAGCGAAAAGATGAACAAGAAGACATAACTTATTCAGTGGATAAATGTTTTAGTATTAAGTTTTCTGAGTTTACAAAACATGCAGCTTAGACTTTAATATAACATGACCAATTATGCAAGCGATAAGCAGTGTTAGACATTTGAAGTAAATTGGTAGATTTGTGACTAACAGTGGAATTCGTGATGCGCATTTCGTTCTATTTGGGACTCATCGACTGCATGCACCTGCATTCCCCAGTGAGTGATACTGCTCCCACTGAGGTTCGAACGCAGTACTCATATTTTCAAATGGGAAAGTCCAAAATGAATATTAATAGAAGTTTCAGACATTGTTTAAATCTGATATATTTAACGATATTAACTCAAGATAAGTGTTTACCATCGTGAATCAATAAAGAAGTTATAAAGATAACTATAAGAAGGTCAAAAGTGATATCAGTGTTTTTAGAGTTTGCAGAGTTCACAGTATGTATCATTTTTTATTTCTGTCATAAGTAAGAGACAGTTTGAAATTGACACGTCTGATTTGCCATGCAAATTAATTTGATAATCGTCCTGAAATCTTTTCAGTTATTATTAAAAATCATTACTATTATATGCTGGTACAAACAGTAATCAATATTTAGTCAGCTGTTAATGACGAGATTTCAATTAAAATCTTCTGACAACTAGTAAAGATTATAATCCTGAATAACAGCTTGCCACAGGAGATTGGCATACACCCTTTATTTCTATTTTATTGAGTAGTACCTGACTGCGTTATGATATTTAGCGTGGGCGTCGGTGGCACAGTGGTAG